ACCTCGCACAGAATTCAACAATCACGCAGCAGAGAGAAACTCAGTCTCTACTGAATTTTTCTGTGCGGCATATCACCTCGCACAGAATTCAACAATCACACAGCAGAGAGAAACTCAGTCTCTACTGAATTTTTCTGTGCGGCATATCACCTCGCACAGAATTCAACAATCACACAGCAGAGAGAAACTCAGTCTCTACTGAATTTTTCTGTGCGGCATATCACCTCGCACAGAATTCAACAATCACACAGCAGAGAGAAACTCAGTCTCTACTGAATTTTTCTGTGCGGCATATCACCTCGCACAGAATTCAACAATCACACAGCAGAGAGAAACTCAGTCTCTACTGAATTTTTCTGTGCGGCATATCACCTCGCACAGAATTCAACAATCACACAGCAGAGAGAAACTCAGTCTCTACTGAATTTTTCTGTGCGGCATATCACCTCGCACAGAATTCAACAATAACACAGCAGAGAGAAACTCAGTCTCTACTGAATTTTTCTGTGCGGCATATCACCTCGCACAGAATTCAACAATAACACAGCAGAGAGAAACTCAGTCTCTACTGAATTTTTCTGTGCGGCATATCACCTCGCACAGAATTCAACAATAACACACACTTCTTTTCGGGGGGCTCCAAGTCCCCGGGGTTTGCAACCCAGCTCAACTAGCGCCCCGTCGAGCCACTAGGGGGGTCCGCCACAACCCAGAGCGGTGGTCCTTATGACTCTTTACGCGGCCTTCACACAGGCTTCTCTTAAGTTTAACTTTTCATTTCACACATAGTTACTCTCTTTGTCAGAACACAGAATATCACAAGATGTACCAGTACAATATCATGAGCCTCGTAATAAATTTAGGATTCAGTATATACAGAGTTCAAGAGATCTTTGATTTAGAGTAACACAAATAGGCAGAAATTCTGTTAAAAAGGTTTTCTGCTTACCTTATTTTGTGGTCGACCAGATCTCTTTTCCTCTGATGCACTGAACAGTTTTCTCCAATTCAAAAGCTCTGTCAGAACTCCATCCCGGACGAGCCCCCAAAATTGTTGAAGTTAATTCAAACTTCCCCGAGTCCGTTGATGGAGACTGGAACAGAGGATTCACTGAGGCAAAAAGGTGTCTTCAACAAACCTTTTATTTCGGCACATCAAATAACACAAGATATCTTGGAGAGCACAACATCAACCCAATGGTATCTCTGAGGTGGTCTGATTACTATTTTTCAGTAGTTAATATTTATACCCTAGGAGGCGTCTCATCATCTTTTTGGGCGGAGAGTTTACCTAACCAGCAGCCCCCAGTGTTTCTCTATGGACAAACAAGCACGTATTGTTCTATTTTTTTATACCTGACCGAAACCGTGGTTTCAGGGAAGTTGACCTTGGATGCATCCAGCGCCCGTCTCCCTTTATCATATTTGCGTCATGTATTCCAAGCTTTCACTGAGTTCCCACTGGGCAGACTGCTGGGCATGCAAACCCCCCTTTACACCTCCCCATCTTCCCAGGACAGAGTGATCTTCCTCCCTCGTCCTGTTGTCCACATCTCTGACTAGCACCTGCACATCTGTTTATGAAAGGCACATCATTATCTAAGGCATATGTCAGGGCCCTAGAGCACTTTTATAAGGAACACTTTTAGTGAATGGCTGTGATGATTATAAAGCACACTTTTTAATAAATGACTGTTAAGGCAGAACAGTTTAAAACCATACTTACCAACCCTTGGCACTTCTAGGCATAAGCTAAAATCCTTCTATACTGAAAGTCTCTGTTCTATACATTGTGACACAGTGGTCAATTGCCCCCGTGTTAGCATTAAACCTTCTAATCTGACTCATCAGTACATGTCCGCAATGAGCACACAAAATAATGTAAACACAATAAGAAAACAGTTAATTACCTGAAACAATGACTAAATGATTGGTATGATATATGAGTTCCCACACCCCATAACCTAATACCTGGGTATTTCCTTCAGGAAGCCCGAAGACCCCAAATATATTTCTTTCATTTTTTTTTTTTTTTTGGTCTAACTAACTCCAAAAGGTTGGAAAAGAGTTCCTACAAAGGTTTTGGACAGTGATTTTAACCCTAACACCAAAAACCTTAAACCTTACCCTAGCCCCATAACCTAATACCTGGGTATTTCCTTCAGGAAGCCCGGAGACCCCAAATATATTTTTTTCATTTTTTTTTTTTTTTGGTCTAACTAACTCCAAAAGGTCTGAAAAGAGTTCCTACAAAGGTTTTGGACGGTGATTTTAACACTAACGCCAAAAACCTTAAACCTAATCCTAGCCTCAAAACCTAATACCCGGGTATTACCTTCAGCAAGCTTGAACACCCCAAATATTTTTTTTCTTTTTCTTTTTTTTTTTTGTCTAACTAACTCCCAGAGGTCTGAAAGATGTTCCTTAAAAAATATTGGACAGTGATTTTAACCCTTACGCCAAAAACCTTAAACCTAACCCTAGCCCCATAACCTAATACCCGGGTATTACCTTCAGGAAGCCCGAACACCCCAAATATTTTTTTTTCATTTATCTTTTTTTTTTTGTCTAACTAACTCCAAAAGGTTGGAAAAGACTTCCTACAAAGGTTTTGGACAGTGATTTTAACCCTAACACCAAAAACCTTAAACCTTACCCTAGCCCCAAAACCTAATACCCGGGTATTACCTTCAGGAAGCTTGAACACCCCAAATATTTTTTTTTCATTTTACATTTTTTTTTGGTGTTACCAACTCCAAAAGGTCTGAAACATGTTCCTAAAAAGGTTTTGGACAGTGATTTTAACCCTAACGCCAAAAACCTTAAACCTTACCCTAGCCCCATAACCTAATATCTGGGTATTTCCTTCAGGAAGCCCGAAGACCCCAAATATATTTTTTTCATTTTTTTTTTTTTTTGGTCTAACTAACTCCAAAAGGTCTGAAAAGAGTTCCTACAAAGGTTTTGGACGGTGATTTTAACCCTAACGCCAAAAACCTTAAACCTAACCCTAGCCCCAAAACCTAATACCCGGGTATTACCTTCAGGAAGCCCGAACACCCCAAATATTTTTTTTTCATTAACTTATTTTTTTTGTCTAACTTATTCCCAAAGGTTGGAAAAGAGTTCCTACAAAGGTTTTGGACAGTGATTTTTACCCTCACGCCGAAAAACCTTAAACCTTACCCTAGCCCCATAACCTAATACCCGGGTATTACCTTCAGGAAGCCCGAACACCCCAAATATTTTTTTTTCATTTATCTTATTTTTTTTGTCTAACTTATTCCCAAAGGTTGGAAAAGAGTTCCTACAAAGGTTTTGGACAGTGATTTTTACCCTCACGCCAAAAAACCTTAAACCTTACCCTAGCCCCATAACATAATACCCGGGTATTACCTTCAGGAAGCCCGAACACCCCAAATATATATTTTTTATTTTTTATTTTTCTTTTTGTTTTGGTCTAACTTGCTCTCAAAGGTTGGAAAAGAGTTCCTACAAAGGTTTTGGACATTGATTTTAACCCTAATGCCAAAAACCTAAAACATTACCCTAGCCCAGAAACCTAGTATTACCTTCAGGAAGCCCGAACACCCAAAAAAATTTCTTTTTCATTTTACATTTTTTTTGGTGTAACCAACTCCAAAAGGTCTGAAACATGTTCCTAAAAAGGTTTTGGACAGTGATTTTAACCCTCACGCCAAAAACCTTAAACCTTACCCTAGCCCCATAACCTAATACCTTGGTATTACCTTCAGGAAGCCCGAACACCCCAAATATTTTTTTTCATTTTTCGTTTTTTTTTGGTCTAACTAACTCCAAAAGGTTGGAAAATAGTTCCTACAAAGGTTTTGGACAGTGATTTTAACCCTAACGCCAAAAACCTTAAACCTTACCATATAGCCCCATAACCTAATACCCGGGTATTACCTTCAGGAAACCCGAACACCCCAAATATATATTTTTTTCTTTTTCTTTTTTTTTTGTCTAACTAACTCCCAAAGGTCTGAAACATGTTCCTTAAAACATATTGGACAGTTATTTTAACACTAACGCCAAAAACCTTAAACCTAACCCTAGCCCCAAAACCTAATACCCGGGTATTACCTTCAGGAAGCCCGAACACCCCAAATATATTTTTTTCATTTATCTTATTTTTTTTGTCTAACTTATTCCCAAAGGTTGGAAAAGAGTTCCTACAAAGGTTTTGGACAGTGTTTTTTGCCCTCACGCCAAAAAACCTTAAACCTTACCCTAGCCCCATAACCTAATACCCGGGTATTACCTTCAGGAAGCCCGAACACCCCAAATATATATTTTTTATTTTTCTTTTTGTTTTGGTCTAACTTGCTCTCAAAGGTTGGAAAAGAGTTCCTACAAAGGTTTTGGACATTGATTTTAACCCTAACGCCAAAAACCTTAAACATTACCCTAGCCCAGAAACCTAGTATTACCTTCAGGAAGCCCGAACACCCAAAAAAAATTCTTTTTCATTTTACATTTTTTTTGGTGTAACCAACTCCAAAAGGTCTGAAACATGTTCCTAAAAAGGTTTTGGACAGTGATTTTAACCCTAACGCCAAAAACCTTAAACCTTACCCTAGCCCCATAACCTAATACCCTAATATTGGTATTACCTTCAGGAAGCCCGAACACCCCAAATATTTTTTTTCATTTTTCGTTTTTTTTTTGGTCTAACTAACTCCAAAAGGTTGGAAAATAGTTCCTACAAAGGTTTTGGACAGTGATTTTAACCCTAACGCCAAAAACCTTAAACCTTACTATAGCCCCATAACCTAATACCTTGGTATTACCTTCAGGAAGCTTGAACACCCCAAATATTTTTTTTTCATTTTACATTTTTTTTGGTGTAACCTACTCCAAAAGGTCTGAAACATGTTTCTAAAAAGGTTTTGGACAGTGATTTTAACCCTAACACCAAAAACCTTAAACCTTACCCTAGCCCCAAAACCTAATACCCGGGTATTACCTTCAGCAAGCTTGAACACCCCAAATATTTTTTTTTATTTTACATTTTTTTTTGGTGTTACCAACTCCAAAAGGTCTGAAACATGTTCCTAAAAAGGTTTTGGACAGTGATTTTAACCCTAACACCAAAAACCTTAAACCTTACCCTAACCCCAAAACCTAATACCCGGGTATTACCTTCAGGAAGCCCGAACACCCCAAATATATTTTTTTCTTTTTTTTTTTTTTTTTTGGTCTAACTAACTCCAAAAGGTTGGAAAAGAGTTCCTACAAAGGTTTTGGACAGTTATTTTAACCCTAACACCAAAAACCTTAAACCTTACCCTAGCCCCAAAACCTAATACCCGGGTATTACCTTCAGGAAGCCCGAACACCCCAAAAATTTTTTTTTCATTTATCTTATTTTTTTTGTCTAACTAATTCCCAAAGGTTGGAAAATAGTTCCTACAAAGGTTTTGGACAGTGATTTTTACCCTCACGCTGAAAAACCTTAAACCTTACCCTAGCCCCATAACCTAATACCCGGGTATTACCTTCAGGAAGCCCGAACACCCCAAATATATATTTTTTATTTTTATTTTTGTTTTGGTCTAACTTGCTCTCAAAGGTTGGAAAAGAGTTCCTACAAAGGTTTTGGACATTGATTTTAACCCTAACGCCAAAAACCTTAAACCTTACCCTAGCCCCATAACCTAATACCTGGGTATTTCCTTCAGGAAGCCCGAAGACCCCAAATATATTTTTTTCATTTTTTTTTTTTTTGGTCTAACTAACTCCAAAAGGTTGGAAAAGAGTTCCTACAAAGGTTTTGGACAGTGATTTTAACCCTAACGCCAAAAACCTTAAACCTTACTATAGCCCCATAACCTAATACCCGGGTATTACCTTCAGGAAGCCCGAACACCCCAAATATTTTTTTTTTTCATTTTACATTTTTTTTGGTCTAACCAACTCCAAAAGGTCTTAAACATGTTCCTTAAAAGGTTTTGGACAGTGATTTTAACCCTAACGCCAAAAACCTTAAACCTTACCCTAGCCCCATAACCTAATACCCGGGTATTACCTTCAGGAAACCCGAACACCCCAAATATTTTTTTTTCTTTTTCTTTTTTTTTTGTCTAACTAACTCCCAAAGGTCTGAAACATGTTCCTTAAAAAATATTGGACAGTGATTTTAACCCTAACGCCAAAAACCTTAAACCTTACCCTAGCCCCAAAACCTAATACCCGGGTATTACCTTCAGTAACCCAAAAACCCCAAATATTTTTTTTTCATTTTTCATTTTTTTTTTGGTCTAACTAACTCCAAAAGGTTGGAAAATAGTTCCTAAAAAGGTTTCGGACAGTGATTTTAACCCTAACGCCAAAAAACTTAAACCTTACTATAGCCCCATAACCTAATACTCGGGTATTACCTTCAGGAAGCTTGAACACCCCAAATATTTTCTTTTCATTTTACATTTTTTTTTGGTGTAACCAACTCCAAAAGGTCTGAAACATGTTCCTAAAAAGGTTTTGGACAGTGATTTTAACCCTAACGCCAAAAACCTTAAACCTTACCCTAGCCCCATAACCTAATACCCGGGTATTACCTTCAGGAAGCCCGAACACCCCAAATATATATTTTTTATTTTTCTTTTTGTTTTGGTCTAACTTGCTCTCAAAGGTTGGAAAAGAGTTCCTACAAAGGTTTTGGACAGTGATTTTAACCCTAACACCAAAAACCTTAAACCTTACCCTAGCCCCAAAACCTAATACCCGGGTATTACCTTCAGGAAACCCGAACACCCCAAATATATATTTTTTTCTTTTTCTTTTTTTTTTGTCTAACTAACTCCCAAAGGTCTGAAACATGTTCCTTAAAAAATATTGGACAGTTATTTTAACCCTAACGCCAAAAACCTTAAACCTATTCCTAGCCCCAAAACCTAATACCCGGGTATTACCTTCAGGAAGCCCGAACACCCCAAATATTTTTTTTTCATTAACTTATTTTTTTTGTCTAACTTATTCCCAAAGGTTGGAAAAGAGTTCCTACAAAGGTTTTGGACAGTGATTTTTACCCTCACGCCGAAAAACCTTAAACCTTACCCTAGCCCCATAACCTAATACCCGGGTATTACCTTCAGGAAGCCCGAACACCCCAAATATTTTTTTTTCATTTATCTTATTTTTTTTGTCTAACTTATTCCCAAAGGTTGGAAAAGAGTTCCTACAAAGGTTTTGGACAGTGATTTTTACCCTCACGCCAAAAAACCTTAAACCTTACCCTAGCCCCATAACCTAATACCCGGGTATTACCTTCAGGAAGCCCGAACACCCCAAATATATATTTTTTATTTTTTATTTTTCTTTTTGTTTTGGTCTAACTTGCTCTCAAAGGTTGGAAAAGAGTTCCTACAAAGGTTTTGGACATTGATTTTAACCCTAATGCCAAAAACCTAAAACATTACCCTAGCCCAGAAACCTAGTATTACCTTCAGGAAGCCCGAACACCCAAAAAAATTCTTTTTCATTTTACATTTTTTTTGGTGTAACCAACTCCAAAAGGTCTGAAACATGTTCCTAAAAAGGTTTTGGACAGTGATTTTAACCCTCACGCCAAAAACCTTAAACCTTACCCTAGCCCCATAACCTAATACCTTGGTATTACCTTCAGGAAGCCCGAACACCCCAAATATTTTTTTTCATTTTTCGTTTTTTTTTGGTCTAACTAACTCCAAAAGGTTGGAAAATAGTTCCTACAAAGGTTTTGGACAGTGATTTTAACCCTAACGCCAAAAACCTTAAACCTTACTATAGCCCCATAACCTAATACCCGGGTATTACCTTCAGGAAACCCGAACACCCCAAATAAATATTTTTTTCTTTTTCTTTTTTTTTGTCTAACTAACTCCCAAAGGTCTGAAACATGTTCCTTAAAAAATATTGGACAGTTATTTTAACCCTAACGCCAAAAACCTTAAACCTAACCCTAGCCCCAAAACCTAATACCCGGGTATTACCTTCAGGAAGCCCGAACACCCCAAATATGTTTTTTTTCATTTATCTTATTTTTTTTGTCTAACTTATTCCCAAAGGTTGGAAAAGAGTTCCTACAAAGGTTTTGGACAGTGATTTTTACCCTCACGCCAAAAACCTTAAACCTTTCCCTAGCCCCATAACCTAATACCCGGGTATTACCTTCAGGAAGCCCGAACACCCCAAATATATATTTTTTATTTTTCTTTTTGTTTTGGTCTAACTTGCTCTCAAAGGTTGGAAAAGAGTTCCTACAAAGGTTTTGGACATGGTTTTAACCCTAACGCCAAAAACCTAAAACATTACCCTAGCCCAGAAACCTAGTATTACCTTCAGGAAGCCCGAACACCCAAAAAAAATTCTTCTTCATTTTACATTTTTTTTTGGTGCAACCAACTCCAAAAGGTTGGAAAAGAGTTCCTACAAAGGTTTTGGACAGTGATTTTAACCCTAACACCAAAAACCTTAAACCTTACCCTAGCTCCAAAACCTAATATACGGGTATTACCTTCAGGAAGCCCGAACACCCCAAATATTTTTTTTTTTCATTTTACATTTTTTTTTGGTGTAACCAACTCCAAAAGGTCTTAAACATGTTCCTAAAAAGGTTTTGGACACTGATTTTAACTCTAACGCCAAAAACCTTAAACCTTACTATAGCCCCATAACCTAATACCCGGGTATTACCTTCAGGAAACCCGAACACCCCAAATATATATTTTTTTCTTTTTCTTTTTGTTTTGTCTAACTAACTCCCAAAGGTCTGAAACATGTTCCTTAAAAAATATTGGACAGTTATTTTAACCTTAACGCCAAAAACCTTAAACCTAACCCTAGCCCCAAAACCTAATACCCGGGTATTACCTTCAGGAAGCCCGAACACCCCAAATATTTTTTTTTCATTTATCTTATTTTTTTTGTCTAACTTATTCCCAAAGGTTGGAAAAGAGTTCCTACAAAGGTTTTGGACAGTGATTTTTACCCTCACGCCACAAAACCTTAAACTTTACCCTAGCCCCATAACCTAATACCCGGGTATTACCTTCAGGAAGCCCGAACACCCCAAATATATATTTTTTATTTTTCTTTTTGTTTTGGTCTAACTTGCTCTCAAAGGTTGGAAAAGAGTTCCTACAAAGGTTTTGGACATTGATTTTAACCCTAACGCCAAAAACCTAAAACATTACCCTAGCCCAGAAACCTAGTATTACCTTCAGGAAGCCCGAACACCCAAAAAAAATTCTTTTTCATTTTACATTTTTTTTGGTGTAACCAACTCCAAAAGGTCTGAAACATGTTCCTAAAAAGGTTTTGGACAGTGATTTTAACCCTAACGCCAAAAACCTTAAACCTTACCCTAGCCCCATAACCTAATACCTTGGTATTACCTTCAGGAAGCCCGAACACCCCAAATATTTTTTTTTCATTTTTCGTTTTTTTTTTGGTCTAACTTGCTCCAAAAGGTTGGAAAATAGTTTCTACAAAGGTTTTGGACAGTGATTTTAACCCTAACGCCAAAAACCTGAAACCTTACTATAGCCCCATAACCTAATACCTTGGTATTACCTTCAGGAAGCTTGAACACCCCAAATATTTTTTTTTCATTTTACATTTTTTTTTGGTGTAACCTACTCCAAAAGGTCTGAAACATGTTCCTAAAAAGGTTTTGGACAGTGATTTTAACCCTAACACCAAAAACCTCAAACCTTACCCTAGCCCCAAAACCTAATACCCGGGTATTACCTTCAGCAAGCTTGAACACCCCAAATATTTTTTTTTATTTTACATTTTTTTTTGGTGTTACCAACTCCAAAAGGTCTGAAACATGTTCCTAAAAAGGTTTTGGACAGTGATTTTAACCCTAACGCCAAAAACCTTAAACCATACCCTAACCCCATAACCTAATACCTGGGTATTTCCTTCAGGAAGCCCGAAGACCCCAAATATATTTTTTTCTTTATTTTTTTTTTTGGTCTAACTAACTCCAAAAGGTTGGAAAAGAGTTCCTACAAAGGTTTTGGACAGTTATTTTAACCCTAACACCAAAAACCTTAAACCTTACCCTAGCCCCAAAACCTAATACCCGGGTATTACGTTCAGGAAGCCCGAACACCCCAAAAATTTTTTTTTCATTTATCTTATTTTTTTTGTCTAACTAATTCCCAAAGGTTGGAAAAGAGTTCCTACAAAGGTTTTGGACAGTGATTTTTACCCTCACGCTGAAAAACCTTAAACCTTACCCTAGCCCCATAACCTAATACCCGGGTATTACCTTCAGGAAGCCCGAAGACCCCAAATATATTTTTTTCATTTTTTTTTTTTTTTGGTCTAACTAACTCCAAAAGGTTGGAAAAGAGTTCCTACAAAGGTTTTGGACAGTGATTTTAACCCTAACACCAAAAACCTTAAACCTTACCCTAGCCCCAAAACCTAATACCCGGGTATTACCTTCAGGAAGCCCGAACACCCCACATATTTTTTTTTTCATTTTACATTTTTTTTGGTGTAACAAACTCCAAAAGGTCTTAAACATGTTCCTTAAAAGGTTTTGGACACTGATTTTAACTCTAACGCCAAAAACCTTAAACCTTACCCTAGCCCCATAACCTAATACCCGGGTATTACCTTCATGAAACCCGAACACCCCAAATATTTTTTTTTCTTTTTCTTTTTTTTTTGTCTAACTAACTCCCAAAGGTCTGAAACATGTTCCTTAAAAAATATTGGACAGTTATTTTAACCCTAACGCCAAAAACCTTAAACCTAACCCTAGCCCCAAAACCTAATACCCGGGTATTTCCTTCAGGAAGCCCGAACACCCCAAATATTTTTTTTTCATTTATCTTTTTTTTTTTTGTCTAACTAATTCCCAAAGGTTGGAAAAGAGTTCCTACAAAGGTTTTGGACAGTGATTTTAACCCTAACGCCAAAAACCTTAAACCTAACCCTAGCCCCAAAACCTAATACCCGGGTATTACCTTCAGGAAGCCCGAACACCCCAAATATATATTTTTTATTTTTCTTTTTTTTTTTGGTCTAACTTGCTCTCAAAGGTTGGAAAAGAGTTCCTACAAAGGTTTTGGACATTGATTTTAACCCTAACGCCAAAAACCTTAAACATTACCCTAGCCCAGAAACCTAGTATTACCTTCAGGAAGCCCGAACACCCCAAAAAATTTTTTTTTCATTTTACATTTTTTTTGGTGTAACCAACTCCAAAAGGTCTGAAACATGTTCCTAAAAAGGTTTTGGACAGTGATTTTAACCCTTACGCCAAAAACCTTAAACCTTACCCTAGCCCCATAACCTAATACCCGGGTATTACCTTCAGGAAGCCCGAACACCCCAAATATTTTTTTTTCATTTATCTTTTTTTTTTTGTCTAACTAACTCCAAAAGGTTGGAAAAGACTTCCTACAAAAGACTAACTCCAAAAGGTTGGAAAAGACTTCCTACAAAGGTAATACAAAGTATTACCTTCAGGAAGCCCGAACACCCAAAAAAATTTTTTTTTCATTTTACATTTCTTTTGGTGTAACCAACTCCAAAAGGTCTGAAACATGTTCCTAAAAAGGTTTTGGACAGTGATTTTAACCCTTACGCCAAAAACCTTGAACCTTACCCTAGCCCCATAACCTAATACCCGGGTATTACCTTCAGGAAGCCCGAACACCCCAAATATTTTTTTTTCATTTATCTTTTTTTTTTTTGTCTAACTAACTCCAAAAGGTTGGAAAAGACTTCCTACAAAAGACTAACTCCAAAAGGTTGGAAAAGACTTCCTACAAAGGTAATACAAAGTATTACCTTCAGGAAGCCCGAACACCCCAAATATTTTTTTTTCATTTATCTTTTTTTTTTTTGTCTAACTAATTCCCAAAGGTTGGAAAAGAGTTCCTACAAAGGTTTTGGACAGTGATTTTAACCCTAACGCCAAAAACCTTAAACCTAACCCTAGCCCCAAAACCTAATACCCGGGTATTACCTTCAGGAAGCCCGAACACCCCAATTTTTTTTTTCTTTTTCTTTTTTTTTTGTCTAACTAACTCCCAGAGGTCTGAAAGATGTTCCTTAAAAAATATTGGACAGTGATTTTAACCCTGACGCCAAAAACCTTAAACCTAACCCTAGCCCCAAAACCTAATACCCGGGTATTACCTTCAGTAAGCCCGAAAACCCCAAATATTTTTTTTCATTTTTCGTTTTTTTTTTTGGTCTAACTAACTCCAAAAGGTTGGAAAATAGTTCCTACAAAGGTTTTGGACAGTGATTTTAACCCTAACGCCAAAAACCTTAAACCTTACTATAGCCCCATAACCTAATACCCGGGTATTACCTTCAGGAAGCTTGAACACCCCAAATATTTTCTTTTCATTTTACATTTTTTTTTGGTGTAGCCTACTCCAACAGGTCTGAAACATGTTCCTAAAAAGGTTTTGGACAGTGATTTTAACCCTAACACCAAAAACCTTAAACCTTACCCTAGCCCCAAAACCTAATACCTGGGTATTTCCTTCAGGAAGCCCGAAGACCCCAAATATTTTTTTTTCATTTTTTTTTTTTTTTTGGTCTAACTAACTCCAAAAGGTCTGAAAAGAGTTCCTACAAAGGTTTTGGACGGTGATTTTAACACTAACGCCAAAAACCTTAAACCTAATCCTAGCCCCAAAACCTAATACCCGGGTATTACCTTCAGGAAGCCCGAACACCCCAAATTTTTTTTTTCTTTTTCTTTTTTTTTTTGTCTAACTAACTCCCAGAGGTCTGAAAGATGTTCCTTAAAAAATATTGGACAGTGATTTTAACCCTTACGCCAAAAACCTTAAACCTAACCCTAGCCCCAAAACCTAATACCCGGGTATTACCTTCAGTAACCCAAAAACCCCAAATATATTTTTTTTCATTTTTCATTTTTTTTTTGGTCTAGCTAACTCCAAAAGGTTGGAAAATAGTTCCTAAAAAGGTTTTGGACAGTGATTTTAACCCTAACGCCAAAAACCTTAAACCTTACTATAGCCCCATAACCTAATACTCGGGTATTACCTTCAGGAAGCTTGAACACCCCAAATATTTTCTTTTCATTTTACATTTTTTTTTGGTGTAACCAACTCCAAAAGGTCTGAAACATGTTCCTAAAAAGGTTTTGGACAGTGATTTTAACCCTAACGCCAAAAACCTTAAACCTTACCCTAGCCCCATAACCTAATACCTGGGTATTTCTTTCAGGAAGCCCGAAGACCCCAAATAAATTTCTTTCATTTTTTTTTTTTTTTTGGTCTAACTAACTCCAAAAGGTTGGAAAAGAGTTCCTACAAAGGTTTTGGACAGTGATTTTAACCCTAACACCAAAAACCTTAAACCTTACCCTAGCCCCAAAACCTAATACCCGGGTATTACCTTCAGGAAACCCGAACACCCCAAATATATATTTTTTTTTTTTCTTTTTTTTGTCTAACTAACTCCCAAAGGTCTGAAACATGTTCCTTAAAAAATATTGGACAGTTATTTTTACCCTAACGCCAAAAACCTTAAACCTAACCCTAGCCCCAAAACCTAATACCCGGGTATTACCTTCAGGAAGCCCGAACACCCCAAATATATATTTTTTATTTTTCTTTTTGTTTTGGTCTAACTTGCTCTCAAAGGTTGAAAAAGAGTTCCTACAAAGGTTTTGGACATTGATTTTAACCCTAACACCAAAAACCTTAAACATTACCCTAGCCCCATAACCTAGTATTACCTTCAGGAAGCCCGAACACCCAAAAAATTTTTTTTTTCATTTTACATTTTTTTTGGTGTAACCAACTCCAAAAGGTCTGAAACATGTTCCTAAAAAGGTTTTGGACAGTGATTTTAACCCTTACGCCAAAAACCTTAAACCTTACCCTAGCCCCATAACCTAATACCCGGGTATTACCTTCAGGAAGCCCGAACACCCCAAATATTTTTTTTTCATTTATCTTTTTTTTTTGTCTAACTAACTCCAAAAGGTTGGAAAAGACTTCCTACAAAAGACTAACTCCAAAAGGTTGGAAAAGACTTCCTACAAAGGTAATACAAAGTATTACCTTCAGGAAGCCCGAACACCCAAAAAAATTTTTTTTTCATTTTACATTTCTTTTGGTGTAACCAACTCCAAAAGGTCTGAAACATGTTCCTAAAAAGGTTTTGGACAGTTATTTTAACCCTAACGCCAAAAACCTTAAACCTTACCCTAGCCCCATAACCTAATACCTTCAGGAAGCCCGAACACCCCAAGTATTTTTTTTTCATTTATCTTTTTTTTTTTGTCTAACTAACTCCAAAAGGTTGGAAAAGACTTCCTACAAAGGTTTTGGACAGTGATTTAAACCCTAACACCAAAAACCTTAAACCTTACCCTAGCCCCAAAACCTAATACCCGGGTATTACCTTCAGGAAGCTTGAACACCCCAAATATTTTTTTTTCATTTTACATTTTTTTTTGGTGTTACCAACTCCAAAAGGTCTGAAACATGTTCCTAAAAAGGTTTTGGACAGTGATTTTAACCCTAACGCAAAAAACCTTAAACCTTACCCTAGCCCCATAACCTAATACCTGGGTATTTCCTTCAGGAAGCCCAAAGACCCCAAATATATTTTTTTCTTTTTCTTTTTTTTTTGTCTAACTAACTCCCAAAGGTCTGAAACATGTTCCTTAAAAAATATTGGACAGTTATTTTAACCCTAACGCCAAAAACCTTAAACCTAACCCTAGCCCCAAAACCTAATACCCGGGTATTTCCTTCAGGAAGCCCGAACACCCCAAATATATTTTTTTCATTTTTTTTTTTTTTGGTCTAACTAACTCCAAAAGGTCGGAAAAGAGTTCCTACAAAGGTTTTGGACGGTGATTTTAACCCTAACGCCAAAAAACTTAAACCTAATCCTAGCCCCAAAACCTAATACCCGGGTATTACCTTCAGGAAGCCCGAACACCCCAATTTTTTTTTCTTTTTCTTTTTTTTTGTCTAACTAACTCCCAGAGGTCTGAAAGATGTTCCTTAAAAAATATTGGACAGTGATTTTAACCCTAACGCCAAAAACCTTAAACCTAACCCTAGCCCCAAAACCTAATACCCGGGTATTACCTTCAGTAAGCCCGAAAACCCCAAATATTTTTTTTCATTTTTCGTTTTTTTTTTGGTCTAACTAACTCCAAAAGGTTGGAAAATAGTTCCTACAAAGGTTTTGGACAGTGATTTTAACCCTAACGCCAAAAACCTTAAACCTTACTATAGCCCCATAACCTAATACCCGGGTATTACCTTCAGGAAGCTTGAACACCCCAAATATTTTCTTTTCATTTTACATTTTTTTTTGGTGTAACCTACTCCAAAAGGTCTGAAACATGTTCCTGAAAAGGTTTTGGACAGTGATTTTAACCCTAACCCCAAAAACCTTAAACCTTACTATAGCCACATAACCTAATACTCGGGCATTACCTTCAGGAAGCTTGAACACCCCAAAAATTTTTTTTCATTTTACATTTTTTTTTGGTCTAACTAACTCCAAAAGGTCTGAAACATGTTCCTAAAAAGGTTTTGGACATTGATTTTAACCCTAACGCCAAAAACCTTAAACCTTACCCTAGCCCCTTAACCTAATACCTGGGTATTTCCTTCAGGAAGCCCGAAGACCCCAAATATATTTTTTTCTTTTTTCTTTTTTTTTTGGTCTAACTAACACCAAAAGGTTGGAAAAGAGTTCCTACAAAGGTTTTGGACAGTGATTTTAACCCTAACACCAAAAACCTTAAACCTTACCCTAGCTCCAAAACCTAATATACGGGTATTACCTTCAGGAAGCCCGAACACCCCAAATATTTTTTTTTTTCATTTTACATTTTTTTTTGGTGTAACCAACTCCAAAAGGTCTTAAACATGTTCCTAAAAAGGTTTTGGACACTGATTTTAACTCTAACGCCAAAAACCTTAAACCTTACCCTAGCCCCATAACCTAATACCTACCTAATATTACCTTCAGGAAACCCGAACACCCCAAATATTTTTTTTTTCTTTTTCTTTTTTTTTTGTCTAACTAACTCCCAAAGGTCTGAAACATGTTCCTTAAAAAATATTGGACAGTTATTGTAACCCTAACGCCAAAAACCTTAAACCTAACCCTAGCCCCAAAACCTAATACCCGGGTATTTCCTTCAGGAAGCCCGAACACCCCAAATATATTTTTTTCATTTTTTTTTTTTTTTGGTCTAACTAACTCCAAAAGGTCGGAAAAGAGTTCCTGCAAAAGGTTTTGGACGGTGATTTTAACCCTAACGCCAAAAACCTTAAACCTAATCCTAGCCCCAAAACCTAATACCCGGGTATTACCTTCAGGAAGCTTGAACACCCCAAATATTTTCTTTTCATTTTACTTTTTTTTTTGGTGTAACCTACTCCAAAAGGTCTGAAACATGTTCCTAAAAAGGTTTTGGACAGTGATTTTAACCCTAACGCCAAAAAACTTAAACCTAATCCTAGCCCCAAAACCTAATACCCGGGTATTACCTTCAGGAAGCCCGAACACCCCAATTTTTTTTTTCTTTTTCTTTTTTTTTTTGTCTAACTAACTCCCAGAGGTCTGAAAGATGTTCCTTAAAAAATATTGGACAGTGATTTTAACCCTAACGCCAAAAACCTTAAACCTAACCCTAGCCCCAAAACCTAATACCCGGGTATTACCTTCAGTAAGCCCGAAAACCCCAAATATTTTTTTTCATTTTTCGTTTTTTTTTTGGTCTAACTAACTCCAAAAGGTTGGAAAATAGTTCCTACAAAGGTTTTGGACAGTGATTTTAACCCTAACGCCAAAAACCTTAAACCTTACTATAGCCCCATAACCTAATACCCGGGTATTACCTTCAGGAAGCTTGAACACCCCAAATATTTTCTTTTCATTTTACATTTTTTTTTGGTGTAACCTACTCCAAAAGGTCTGAAACATGTTCCTGAAAAGGTTTTGGACAGTGATTTTAACCCTAACCCCAAAAACCTTAAACCTTACTATAGCCACATAACCTAATACTCGGGCATTACCTTCAGGAAGCTTGAACACCCCAAAAATTTTTTTTCATTTTACATTTTTTTTTGGTCTAACTAACTCCAAAAGGTCTGAAACATGTTCCTAAAAAGGTTTTGGACATTGATTTTAACCCTAACGCCAAAAACCTTAAACCTTACCCTAGCCCCATAACCTAATACCTGGGTATTTCCTTCAGGAAGCCCGAAGACCCCAAATATATTTTTTTTTTTTTTTTTTTTTTTTTGTCTAACTAACACCAAAAGGTTTGAAAAGAGGTCCTACAAAGGTTTTGGACGGTGATTTTAACCCTAACACCAAAAACCTTAAACCTTACCCTAGCCCCATAACCTAATATACGGGTATTACCTTCAGGAAGCCCGAAGACCCCAAATATTTTTTTTTTCATTTTACATTTTTTTTTGGTGTAACCAACTCCAAAAGGTCTTAAACATGTTCCTAAAAAGGTTTTGGACACTGATTTTAACTCTAACGCCAAAAACCTTAAACCTTACCCTAGCCCCATAACCTAATACCTACCTAATATTACCTTCAGGAAACCCGAACACCCCAAATATTTTTTTTTTCTTTTTCTTTTTTTTTTTGTCTAACTAACTCCCAAAGGTCTGAAACATGTTCCTTAAAAAATATTGGACAGTTATTGTAACCCTAACGCCAAAAACCTTAAACCTAACCCTAGCCCCAAAACCTAATACCCGGGTATTTCCTTCAGGAAGCCCGAACACCCCAAATATATTTTTTTCATTTTTTTTTTTTTTTGGTCTAACTAACTCCAAAAGGTCGGAAAAGAGTTCCTGCAAAAGGTTTTGGACGGTGATTTTAACCCTAACGCCAAAAACCTTAAACCTAATCCTAGCCCCAAAACCTAATACCCGGGTATTACCTTCAGGAAGCTTGAACACCCCAAATATTTTCTTTTCATTTTACTTTTTTTTTTGGTGTAACCTACTCCAAAAGGTCTGAAACATGTTCCTAAAAAGGTTTTGGACAGTGATTTTAACCCTAACACCAAAAACCTTAAACCTTACCCTAGCCCCAAAACCTAGTACCCGGGTATTACCTTCAGGAAGCTTGAACACCCCAAATATATTTTTTTCATTTTACATTTTTTTTGTCTAACTAACTCCAAAAGGTTGGAAAAAGAGTTCCTACAAAGGTTTTGGACAGTGATTTTAACCCTAACACCAAAAACCTTAAACCTTACCCTAGCCCCAAAACCTAATACCCGGGTATTACCTTCAGTAAGCCCGAACACCCCAAATATTTTTTTTTCATTTTACATTTTTTTGGTGTAACCAACTCTAAAAGGTCTTAAACATGTTCCTAAAAAGGTTTTGGACACTGATTTTAACTCTAACACCAAAAACCTTAAACCTTACCCTAGCCCCATAACCTAATACCCGGGTATTACCTTCAGGAAACCCGAACACCCCAAATATATATTTTTTTCTTTTTCTTTTTTTTGTCTAACTAACTCCCAAAGGTCTGAAACATGTTCCTTAAAAAATATTTGTAGTGCTTTGAAATGAGCCTCATACGGTCGCACCAAAATATATGTAGCGATTTGAAATGAGCCTCACAAGGCCGCACCAAAATAATACTTGGCGATTGGAATTTATAATAAATGTCTGAAGATTAATAATCTCAAATTATGACATTTATGCACTCGTTGAAAGGGGCACCACCCACCCTTAATGGTGGGAAAATAAAGAAAACAAAAGTTTAATTCAGAAATCAAACATCAAGTCAGTTTTAATTAATCAGTCTTAATTAATCAGTCTTAATCAATCAGTCTCATATCTTAAGTCGAAATTCTAATTTCAGGGACTCCACTTCTGGAAGAACACTAACAGACAGGAACTTAGAAAAATAATGATCTGTTTATTACAGGATAAATGATGGTACAACACACATGCAATAAATGATGATAAGATAATGAAGATAAATAATAATAGGTGAATAAATAAAGATTCTGAGTCAGGCTAAGAGCACTAAAGTTAATGATAGTGAGTGAATATGCGCTAACATATTAACCTACACTAACTTTGGTGTCGAGATAAACTCGGATGTGGATTTGGAGGAATCTAAGATCACCAGAAATAGGTGGATATCTAAGTTATGAACGCATGAGACAGCATCAGCCCTGTCTGGAGCTCTGGAGGTTTGCATACTTAAGTGAGACTGGTCCTTGGAGAAGATGGAGCAGGTTCCGAAGGTCCGGGGCTACTGGCGGTTCGAGCGGTTCAGCTCAGAAGACGACTGAAGTCAGCCGAAGGATGAGCCAGGAGTTGCAGCACTCGGGCCCGAAGTAAAGCCAGCGCCTGTGGATCCTGTGGATGCTCGTTTGGGTACTTCTTTGGTCTCACTCAAAAACTCTGGCACAGAGGATGACCTGGGCCTACTGGGTTGCGTTCAGAGGTGACTTTGAGATCACGCAGAAAACTCAGAAAAACGAGACTCGAGCAGAGAAAACTTTCAAAAATGGCTTTGCAAAATTAAAGAAAAATCAATCAAAGGCTTAATCTTGAATTGCTATGCGCACAAAAAGTTGAAGTTTCAAAACTTGAACTAAGACGATGTTAAGGAAAAATCAACGTGAATCAACACGTGGCGTAAAACTTAGAAGACTAAGAAGAAGTTCTAAGAGAAAACAAAGAAGAAGAGGACCACAGAAGGGTGTGGACAGAAGAGAAGGGCCCAAGAGTAAGGGGCCTAAGAGAGACAGGAGAGTCAGCACACAAGAGCAGAAGCAGAAGAGACATAAGAGAAGCATAAGAGAGTGAGCAACCCCACTTCACTGGTTTTATCTTCTCACACTGGGAGTGGCTCCGGCGTGTGTGTGTGAGACAGAGGAGGGTCGTGTGGTCTTTGATTATTTGATCTAACTTATTCTTTTGGCTGGTAAAAGAGTCAGATCTGATACTCACTCACTATGATTAATATCATTGAATGCTTGGTTTCATGACAAATAATTTGACACTAAACACATATGAATGAAGTGTAGGATCACATCAAACATTCTCATTATGTTTAAAGTATCACATTGAACATGCTAAATTACTCTGAAATGAAACAGATAGTAACACATGGAAACTGTGAACAACAAAAGAGTAAACACATGTGAATGAACTTCATCATGATTAATAATGGATTCTAAATACTCACATTAAGGTTATTCAATGACATTATAACCACCTAATGGTTAAAAATACTAAATAAACGATTAAAATATAGACCAAACATTTCTAAACTATTTCTGTGTTCATAGAGTAAAGTTATGATCCATAGTCAATAAATGTAACTCTTAAAAGTTCATGAAACAGTCTGAAAAGCTGTTGGTCTAAAGAAACTAAAGAGCGATAACTCGGCTTCTGGAGCACATAGAAAAATGGGAAACATCTCATTTTAACACAAATTTCATGATTAGACAGATTAGTACATTGCTGAATGCATAAGATGTCATGATCAGTCATTTGTATTCTTTCACCAAAGGAATGCAGTCTTTATCAGTGTATGGTCGAGCAGGGTTTTACGACCGAGGTCTGGAGGTCAGTGTCCCCCCCTTATCCTGGGGTCCGTATGTTCACACACTTTAAGATGCTAAATCTCAAATGGGAGATCTGGGTTGAGGTTAATGTTTATTTAGATGGTCAGCAAATGGAGTCAGTTTGAAAGGTAATAAAAACTCTGTCTCTGTTCGCCGAACTGACCAATCCTGAAGAGTCAGAGGTTTAGTCAACCTCCGGTTGGGTCACTTATTTAACCTGAAAGTGCAAACACGTCTGGAAAGATTTATATCCTGTTTCCTGGGACCAGATAAGGAAACTTTCCTGTAAGGAATGTGTGGGTTTCACATCCAGGGTTGTCTTGATTGCTACATATTGGACAGTTATTTTAACCCTAACGCCAAAAACCTTAAACCTAACCCTAGCCCCAAAACCTAATACCCGGGTATTACCTTCAGGAAGCCCGAAACACCCCAAATATTTTTTTTTCATTTATCTTATTTTTTTTGTCTAACTTATTCCCAAAGGTTGGAAAAGAGTTCCTACAAAGGTTTTGGACAGTGATTTTTACCCTCACGCCGAAAAACCTTAAACCTAACCCTAGCCCCAAAACCTAATACCCGGGTATTACCTTCAGGAAGCCCGAACACCCCAAATACACTCACCGGCCACTTTATTAGGTACACCATGCTAGTAACGGGTTGGACCCCCTTTTGCCTTCAGAACTGCCTCAATTCTTCGTGGCATAGATTCAACAAGGTGCTGGAAGCATTCCTCAGAGAGCTTGGTCCATATTGACATGATGGCATCACACAGTTGCCGCAGATTTGTCGGCTGCACATCCATGATGCGAATCTCCCGTTCCACCACATCCCAAAGATGCTCTATTGGATTGAGATCTGGTGACTGTGGAGGCCATTTGAGTACAGTGAACTCATTGTCATGTTCAAGAAACCAGTCTGAGATGATTCCAGCTTTATGACATGGCGCATTATCCTGCTGAAAGTAGCCATCAGAAGTTGGGTACATTGTGGTCATAAAGGGATGGACATGGTCAGCAACAATACTCAGGTAGGCTGTGGCGTTGCAACGATGCTCAATTGGTACCAAGGGGCCCAAAGAGTGCCAAGAAAATATTCCCCACACCATGACACCACCACCACCAGCCTGAACCGTTGATACAAGGCAGGATGGATCCATGCTTTCATGTTGTTGACGTCAAATTCTGACCCTACCATCCGAATGTCGCAGCAGAAATTGAGACTCATCAGACCAGGCAACGTTTTTCCAATCTTCTATTGTCCAATTTCGATGAGCTTGTGCAAATTGTAGCCTCAGTTTCCTGTTCTTAGCTGAAAGGAGTGGCACCCAGCGTGGTCTTCTGCTGCTGTAGCCCATCTGCCTCAAAGTTTGACGTACTGTGCGTTCAGAGATGCTCTTCTGCCTACCTTGGTTGTAACGGGTGGTTATTTGAGTCACTGTTGCCTTTCTATCAGCTCGAACCAGTCTGGCCATTCTCCTCTGACCTCTGGCATCAACAAGGCATTTCCGCCCACAGAACTGCCACTCACTAGATATTTTTTTCTTTTTCGGACCATTCTCTGTAAACCCTAGAGATGGTTGTGCGTGAAAATCCCAGTAGATCAGCAGTTTCTGAAATACTCAGACCAGCCCTTCTGGCACCAACAACCATGCCACGTTCAAAGTCACTCAAATCACCTTTCTTCCCCATACTGATGCTCGGTTTGAACTGCAGGAGATTATCTTGACCATGTCTACATGCCTAAATGCACTAAGTTGCCGCCATGTGATTGGCTGATTAGAAATTAAGTGTTAACGAGCAGTTGGACAGGTGTACCTAATAAAGTGGCCGGTGAGTGTATATATTTTTTATTTTTCTTTTTTTTTTGGTCTAACTTGCTCTCAAAGGTTGGAAAAGAGTTCCTACAAAGGTTTTGGACATTGATTTTAACCCTAACACCAAAAACCTTAAACATTACCCTAGCCAGGAAACCTAGTATTACCTTCAGGAAGCCCGAACACCCCAATTTTTTTTTTTCTTTTTCTTTTTTTTTTGTCTAACTAACTCCCAGAGGTCTGAAAGATGTTCCTTAAAAAATATTGGACAGTGATTTTAACCCTTACGCCAAAAACCTTAAACCTTACCCTAGCCCCAAAACCTAATACCCGGGTATTACCTTCAGGAAGCTTGAACACCCCAAATATATTTTTTTCTTTTTTCTTTTTTTTTGGTCTAACTAACTCCAAAAGGTTGGAAAAGAGTTCCTACAAAGGTTTTGGACAGTGATTTTAACCCTAACACCAAAAACCTTAAACCTTACCCTAGCCCCAAAACCTAATATACGGGTATTACCTTCAGGAAGCCCGAACACCCCAAATATTTTTTCTTCATTTTACATTTTTTTTTGGTGTAACCAACTCCAAAAGGTCTTAAACATGTTCCTAAAAAGGTTTTGGACACTGATTTTAACTCTAACGCCAAAAACCTTAAACCTTACCCTAGCCCCATAACCTAATACCTACCTAATATTACCTTCAGGAAACCCGAACACCCCAAATATTTTTTTTTTCTTTTTCTTTTTTTTTTTGTCTAACTAACTCCCAAAGGTCTGAAACATGTTCCTTAAAAAATATTGGACAGTTATTTTAACCCTAACGCCAAAAACCTTAAACCTAACCCTAGCCCCAAAACCTAATACCCGGGTATTACCTTCAGTAAGCTCGAAAACCCCAAATTTATTTTTTCTTTTTCTTTTTTTTTTGTCTAACTAACTCCCAGAGGTCTGAAAGATGTTCCTTAAAAAATATTGGACGGTGATTTTAACCCTAACGCCAAAAACCTTAAACCTAACCCTAGCCCCAAAACCTAATATCCGGGTATTACCTTCAGTAAGCCCGAAAACCCCAAATATTTTTTTTCATTTTTCGTTTTTTTTTTTGGTCTAACTAACTCCAAAAGGTTGGAAAATAGTTCCTACAAAGGTTTTGGACATTGATTTTAACCCTAACACCAAAAACCTTAAACATTACCCTAGCCAGGAAACCTAGTATTACCTTCAGGAAGCCCGAACACCCCAATTTTTTTTTTTTCTTTTTCTTTTTTTTTGTCTAACTAACTCCCAGAGGTCTGAAAGATGTTCCTTAAAAAATATTAGACAGTGATTTTAACCCTTACGCCAAAAACCTTAAACCTTACCCTAGCCCCAAAACCTAATACCCGGGTATTACCTTCAGGAAGCTTGAACACCCCAAATATTTTTTTTTTCTTTTTTTTTTGTCTAACTAACTCCCAAAGGTCTGAAACATGTTCCTTAAAAAATATTGGACAGTGATTTTAACCCTAACACCAAAAACCTTAAACCTAACCCTAGCCCCAAAACCTAATACCCGGGTATTACCTTCAGGAAGCCCGAACACCCCAAATATATTTTTTTCATTTTTTTTTTTTTTTGGTCTAACTAACTCCAAAAGGTCGGAAAAGAGTTCCTACAAAGGTTTTGGACGGTGATTTTAACCCTAACGCCAAAAACCTTAAACCTAACCCTAGCCCCAAAACCTAATACCCGGGTATTACCTTCAGGAAGCCCGAACACCCCAAATACACTCACCGGCCACTTTATTAGGTACACCATGCTAGTAACGGGTTGGACCCCCTTTTGCCTTCAGAACTGCCTCAATTCTTCGTGGCATAAATTCAACAAGGTGCTGGAAGCATTCCTCAGAGAGCTTGGTCCATATTGACATGATGGCATCACACAGTTGCCGCAGATTTGTCGGCTGCACATCCATGATGCGAATCTCCCGTTCCACCACATCCCAAAGATGCTCTATTGGATTGAGATCTGGTGACTGTGGAGGCCATTTGAGTACAGTGAACTCATTGTCATGTTCAAGAAACCAGTCTGAGATGATTCCAGCTTTATGACATGGCGCATTATCCTGCTGAAAGTAGCCATCAGAAGTTGGGTACATTGTGGTCATAAAGGGATGGACATGGTCAGCAACAATACTCAGGTAGGCTGTGGCGTTGCAACGATGCTCAATTGGTACCAAGGGGCCCAAAGAGTGCCAAGAAAATATTCCCCACACCATGACACCACCACCACCAGCCTGAACCGTTGATACAAGGCAGGATGGATCCATGCTTTCATGTTGTTGACGTCAAATTCTGACCCTACCATCCGAATGTCGCAGCAGAAATTGAGACTCATCAGACCAGGCAACGTTTTTCCAATCTTCTATTGTCCAATTTCGATGAGCTTGTGCAAATTGTAGCCTCAGTTTCCTGTTCTTAGCTGAAAGGAGTGGCACCCAGCATGGTCTTCTGCTGCTGTAGCCCATCTGCCTCAAAGTTTGACGTACTGTGCGTTCAGAGATGCTCTTCTGCCTACCTTGGTTGTAACGGGTGGTTATTTGAGTCACTGTTGCCTTTCTATCAGCTCGAACCAGTCTGGCCATTCTCCTCTGACCTCTGGCATCAACAAGGCATTTCCGCCCACAGAACTGCCACTCACTAGATATTTTTTTCTTTTTCGGACCATTCTCTGTAAACCCTAGAGATGGTTGTGCGTGAAAATCCCAGTAGATCAGCAGTTTCTGAAATACTCAGACCAGCCCTTCTGGCACCAACAACCATGCCACGTTCAAAGTCACTCAAATCACCTTTCTTCCCCATACTGATGCTCGGTTTGAACTGCAGGAGATTGTCTTGACCATGTCTACATGCCTAAATGCACTAAGTTGCCGCCATGTGATTGGCTGATTAGAAATTAAGTGTTAACGAGCAGTTGGACAGGTGTACCTAATAAAGTGGCCGGTGAGTGTATATATTTTTTATTTTTCTTTTTTTTTTGGTCTAACTTGCTCTCAAAGGTTGGAAAAGAGTTCCTACAAAGGTTTTGGACATTGATTTTAACCCTAACACCAAAAACCTTAAACATTACCCTAGCCAGGAAACCTAGTATTACCTTCAGGAAGCCCGAACACCCCAAATTTTTTTTTTTCTTTTTCTTTTTTTTTTGTCTAACTAACTCCCAGAGGTCTGAAAGATGTTCCTTAAAAAATATTGGACAGTGATTTTAACCCTTACGCCAAAAACCTTAAACCTTACCCTAGCCCCAAAACCTAATACCCGGGTATTACCTTCAGGAAGCTTGAACACCCCAAATATATTTTTTTCTTTTTCTTTTTTTTTGGTCTAACTAACTCCAAAAGGTTGGAAAAGAGTTCCTACAAAGGTTTTGGACAGTGATTTTAACCCTAACACCAAAAACCTTAAACCTTACCCTAGCCCCAAAACCTAATATACCCGGGTATTACCTTCAGGAAGCCCGAACACCCCAAATATTTTTTTTTTCATTTTACATTTTTTTTTGGTGTAACCAACTCCAAAAGGTCTTAAACATGTTCCTAAAAAGGTTTTGGACACTGATTTTAACTCTAACGCCAAAAACCTTAAACCTTACCCTAGCCCCATAACCTAATACCTACCTAATATTACCTTCAGGAAACCCGAACACCCCAAATATTTTTTTTTTCTTTTTCTTTTTTTTTTGTCTAACTAACTCCCAAAGGTCTGAAACATGTTCCTTAAAAAATATTGGACAGTGATTTTAACCCTAACGCCAAAAACCTTAAACCTAACCCTAGCCCCAAAACCTAATACCCGGGTATTACCTTCAGTAAGCCCGAAAACCCCAAATTTATTTTTTCTTTTTCTTTTTTTTTTTGTCTAACTAACTCCCAGAGGTCTGAAAGATGTTCCTTAAAAAATATTGGACGGTGATTTTAACCCTAACGCCAAAAACCTTAAACCTAACCCTAGCCCCAAAACCTAATATCCGGGTATTACCTTCAGTAAGCCCGAAAACCCCAAATATTTTTTTTCATTTTTCGTTTTTTTTTTTTGGTCTAACTAACTCCAAAAGGTTGGAAAATAGTTCCTACAAAGGTTTTGGACATTGATTTTAACCCTAACACCAAAAACCTTAAACATTACCCTAGCCAGGAAACCTAGTATTACCTTCAGGAAGCCCGAACACCCCAATTTTTTTTTTTTCTTTTTATTTTTTTTTGTCTAACTAACTCCCAAAATGTCTGAAAGATGTTCCTTAAAAAATATTAGACAGTGATTTTAACCCTTACGCCAAAAACCTTAAACCTTACCCTAGCCCCAAAACCTAATACCCGGGTATTACCTTCAGGAAGCTTGAACACCCCAAATATTTTTTTTTTCTTTTTTTTTGTCTAACTAACTCCCAAAGGTCTGAAACATGTTCCTTAAAAAATATTGGACAGTTATTTTAACCCTAACGCCAAAAACCTTAAACCTAACCCTAGCCCCAAAACCTAATACCCGGGTATTACCTTCAGGAAGCCCGAACACCCCAAATATTTTTTTCATTTTTTTTTTTTTTGGTCTAACTAACTCCAAAAGGTCGGAAAAGAGTTCCTACAAAGGTTTTGGACGGTGATTTTAACCCTAACGCCAAAAACCTTAAACCTAATCCTAGCCCCAAAACCTAATACCCGGGTATTACCTTCAGGAAGCCCGAACACCCCAAATTTTTTTTTTCTTTTTCTTTTTTTTTGTCTAACTAACTCCCAAAGGTCTGAAAGATGTTCCTTAAAAAATATTGGACAGTGATTTTAACCCTAACGCCAAAAACCTTAAACCTAACCCTAGCCCCAAAACCTAATACCCGGGTATTACCTTCAGTAAGCCCGAAAACCCCAAATATTTTTTTTCATTTTTCGTTTTTTTTTTGGTCTAACTAACTCCAAAAGGTTGGAAAATAGTTCCTACAAAGGTTTTGGACAGTGATTTTAACCCTAACGCCAAAAACCTTAAACCTTACTATAGCCCCATAACCTAATACCCGGGTATTACCTTCAGGAAGCTTGAACACCCCAAATATTTTCTTTTCATTTTACATTTTTTTTTGGTGTAACCTACTCCAAAAGGTCTGAAACATGTTCCTAAAAAGGTTTTGGACAGTGATTTTAACCCTAACACCAAAAACCTTAAACCTTACCCTAGCCCCAAAACCTAATACCCGGGTATTACCTTCAGGAAGCTTGAACACCCCAAATATATTTTTTTCATTTTACATTTTTTTTTGTCTAACTAACTCCAAAAGGTTGGAAAAGAGTTCCTACAAAGGTTTTGGACAGTGATTTTAACCCTAACACCAAAAACCTTAAACCTTACCCTAGCCCCAAAACCTAATACCCGGGTATTACCTTCAGGAAGCCCGAACACCCCAAATATTTTTTTTTCATTTTACATTTTTTTTTGGTGTAACCAACTCCAAAAGGTCTGAAACATGTTCCTAAAAAGGTTTTGGACAGTGATTTTAACTCTAACACCAAAAACCTTAAACCTTACCCTAGCCCCATAACCTAATACCCGGGTATTACCTTCAGGAAACCCGAACACCCCAAATATATATTTTTTTCTTTTTCTTTTTTTTTTGTCTAACTAACTCCCAAAAGGTCTGAAACATGTTCCTTAAAAAATATTGGACAGTTATTTTAACCCTAACGCCAAAAACCTTAAACCTTAACCCTAGCCCCAAAACCTAATACCCGGGTATTACCTTCAGGAAGCCCGAACACCCCAAATATTTTTTTTTCATTTATCTTATTTTTTTTGTCTAACTTATTCCCAAAGGTTGGAAGAGAGTTCCTACAAAGGTTTTGGACAGTGATTTTTACCCTCACGCCGAAAAACCTTAAACCTTACCCTAGCCCCATAACCTAATACCCGGGTATTACCTTCAGGAAGCCCGAACACCCCAAATATATATTTTTTATTTTTCTTTTTGTTTTGGTCTAACTTGCTCTCAAAGGTTGGAAAAGAGTTCCTACAAAGGTTTTGGACATTGATTTTAACCCTAACGCCAAAAACCTTAAACATTACCCTAGCCCAGAAACCTAGTATTACCTTCAGGATGCCCGAACACCCAAAAAAATTCTGTTTCATTTTACATTTTTTTTTGGTGTAACCTACTCCAAAAGGTCTGAAACATGTTCCTAAAAAGGTTTTGGACAGTGATTTTAACCCTAACACCAAAAACCTTAAACCTTACCCTAGCCCCAAAACCTAATACCCGGGTATTACCTTCAGTAAGCCCGAACACCCCAAATATTTTTTTTTCATTTTACATTTTTTTTTGGTGTAACCAACTCTAAAAGGTCTTAAACATGTTCCTAAAAAGGTTTTGGACACTGATTTTAACTCTAACACCAAAAACCTTAAACCTAATCCTAGCCCCAAAACCTAATACCCGGGTATTACCTTCAGGAAGCCCGAACACCCCAAATTTTTTTTTTCTTTTTCTTTTTTTTTTGTCTAACTAACTCCCAGAGGTCTGAAAGATGTTCCTTAAAAAATATTGGACAGTGATTTTAACCCTAACGCCAAAAACCTTAAACCTAATCCTAGCCCCAAAACCTAATACCCGGGTATTACCTTCAGGAAGCCCGAACACCCCAAATATATATTTTTTATTTTTCTATTTGTTTTGGTCTAACTTGCTCTCAAAGGTTAGAAAAGAGTTCCTACAAAGGATTTGGACATTGATTTTAACCCTAACGCCAAAAAACTTAAACATTACCCTAGCCCAGAAACCTAGGATTACCTTCAGGAAGCCCGAACACCCAAAATAATTTTTTTTTCATTATACATTTTTTTTGGTGTAACCAACTCCAAAAGGTCTGAAACATGTTCCTAAAAAGGTTTTGGACAGTGATTTTAACCCTTACGCCAAAAACTTTAAACCTTACCCTAGCCCCATAACCTAATACCCGGGTATTACCTTCAGGAAGCCCGAACACCCCAAATATTTTTTTTTCATTTATCTTTTTTTTTTGTCTAACTAACTCCAAAAGGTTGGAAAAGATTTCCTAGAAAAGACTAACTCCAAAAGGTTGGAAAAAGACTTCCTACAAAGGTAATACAAAGTATTGCCTTCAGGAAGCCCGACGACCCCAAATATATTTTTTTCTTTTTTCTTTTTTTTTGGTCTAACTAACTCCAAAAGGTTGGAAAAGAGTTCCTACAAAGGTTTTGGACAGTGATTTTTACCCTCACGCCGAAAAACCTTAAACCTTACCCTAGCCCCATAACCTAATACCCGGGTATTACCTTCAGGAAGCCCGAACACCCCAAATATATATTTTTTATTTTTCTTTTTGTTTTGGTCTAACTTATTCCCAAAGGTTGGAAGAGAGTTCCTACAAAGGTTTTGGACAGTGATTTTTACCCTCACGCCGAAAAACCTTAAACCTTACCCTAGCCCCATAACCTAATACCCGGGTATTACCTTCAGGAAGCCCGAACACCCCAAATATATATTTTTTATTTTTCTTTTTGTTTTGGTCTAACTTGCTCTCAAAGGTTGGAAAAGAGTTCCTACAAAGGTTTTGGACATTGATTTTAACCCTAACGCCAAAAACCTTAAACATTACCCTAGCCCAGAAACCTAGTATTACCTTCAGGATGCCCGAACACCCAAAAAAAATTCTGTTTCATTTTACATTTTTTTTTGGTGTAACCTACTCCAAAAGGTCTGAAACATGTTCCTAAAAAGGTTTTGGACAGTGATTTTAACCCTAACACCAAAAACCTTAAACCTTACCCTAGCCCCAAAACCTAATACCCGGGTATTACCTTCAGGAAGCCCGAACACCCCAAATATTTTTTTTTCATTTTACATTTTTTTTTGGTGTAACCAACTCTAAAAGGTCTTAAACATGTTCCTAAAAAGGTTTTGGACACTGATTTTAACTCTAACACCAAAAACCTTAAACCTAATCCTAGCCCCAAAACCTAATACCCGGGTATTACCTTCAGGAAGCCCGAACACCCCAAATATTTTTTTTTCTTTTTCTTTTTTTTTTTTGTCTAACTAACTCCCAGAGGTCTGAAAGATGTTCCTTAAAAAATATTGGACAGTGATTTTAACCCTAACGCCAAAAACCTTAAACCTAATCCTAGCCCCAAAACCTAATACCCGGGTATTACCTTCAGGAAGCCCGAACACCCCAAATATATATTTTTTATTTTTCTATTTGTTTTGGTCTAACTTGCTCTCAAAGGTTAGAAAAGAGTTCCTACAAAGGATTTGGACATTGATTTTAACCCTAACGCCAAAAAACTTAAACATTACCCTAGCCCAGAAACCTAGGATTACCTTCAGGAAGCCCGAACACCCAAAATAATTTTTTTTTCATTATACATTTTTTTTGGTGTAACCAACTCCAAAAGGTCTGAAACATGTTCCTAAAAAGGTTTTGGACAGTGATTTTAACCCTTACGCCAAAAACTTTAAACCTTACCCTAGCCCCATAACCTAATACCCGGGTATTACCTTCAGGAAGCCCGAACACCCCAAATATTTTTTTTTCATTTATCTTTTTTTTTTGTCTAACTAACTCCAAAAGGTTGGAAAAGATTTCCTAGAAAAGACTAACTCCAAAAGGTTGGAAAAAGACTTCCTACAAAGGTAATACAAAGTATTGCCTTCAGGAAGCCCGACGACCCCAAATATATTTTTTTCTTTTTTCTTTTTTTTTGGTCTAACTAACTCCAAAAGGTTGGAAAAGAGTTCCTACAAAGGTTTTGGACAGTGATTTTAACCCTAACGCCAAAAACCTTAAACCTAACCCTAGCCCCAAAACCTAATACCCGGGTATTACCTTCAGTAAGCCCGAAAACCCCAAATATTTTTTTTCATTTTTCGTTTTTTTTTTGGTCTAACTAACTCCAAAAGGTTGGAAAATAGTTCCTACAAAGGTTTTGGACAGTGATTTTAACCCTAACGCCAAAAACCTTAAACCTTACTATAGCCCCATAACCTAATACCCGGGTATTACCTTCAGGAAGCTTGAACACCCCAAATATTTTCTTTTCATTTTACATTTTTTTTTGGTGTAACCTACTCCAAAAGGTCTGAAACATGTTCCTAAAAAGGTTTTGGACAGTGATTTTAACCCTAACACCAAAAACCTTAAACCTTACCCTAGCCCCAAAACCTAATACCCGGGTATTACCTTCAGGAAGCTTGAACACCCCAAATATATTTTTTTCATTTTACATTTTTTTTTGTCTAACTAACTCCAAAAGGTTGGAAAAGAGTTCCTACAAAGGTTTTGGACAGTGATTTAAACCCTAACACCAAAAACCTTAAACCTTACCCTAGCCCCAAAACCTAATACCCGGGTATTACCTTCAGGAAGCCCGAACACCCCAAATATTTTTTTTTCATTTTACATTTTTTTTTGGTGTAACCAACTCTAAAAGGTCTTAAACATGTTCCTAAAAAGGTTTTGGACACTGATTTTAACTCTAACACCAAAAACCTTAAACCTTACCCTAGCCCCATAACCTAATACCCGGGTATTACCTTCAGGAAACCCGAACACCCCAAATATATATTTTTTTCTTTTTCTTTTTTTTTTGTCTAACTAACTCCCAAAGGTCTGAAACATGTTCCTTAAAAAATATTGGACAGTTATTTTAACATAACGCCAAAAACCTTAAACCTAACCCTAGCCCCAAAACCTAATACCCGTGTATTACCTTTAGGAAGCCCGAACACCCCAAATATTTTTTTTTCATTTATCTTATTTTTTTTGTCTAACTTATTCCCAAAGGTTGGAAGAGAGTTCCTACAAAGGTTTTGGACAGTGATTTTTACCCTCACGCCGAAAAACCTTAAACCTTACCCTAGCCCCATAACCTAATACCCGGGTATTACCTTCAGGAAGCCCGAACACCCCAAATATATATTTTTTATTTTTCTTTTTGTTTTGGTCTAACTTGCTCTCAAAGGTTGGAAAAGAGTTCCTACAAAGGTTTTGGACATTGATTTTAACCCTAACGCCAAAAACCTTAAACATTACCCTAGCCCAGAAACCTAGTATTACCTTCAGGATGCCCGAACACCCAAAAAAAATTCTGTTTCATTTTACATTTTTTTTGGTGTAACCAACTCCAAAAGGTCTGAAACATGTTCCTAAAAAGGTTTTGGACAGTGATTTTAACCCTTACGCCAAAAACCTTAAATCTTACCCTAGCCCCATAACCTAATACCTTGGTATTACCTTTAGGAAGCCCGAACACCCCAAATATTTTTTTTCATTTTTCGTTTTTTTTTGGTCTAACTAACTCCAAAAGGTTGGAAAATAGTTCCTACAAAGGTTTTGGACAGTGATTTTAACCCTTACGCCAAAAACCTTAAACCTTACTATAGCCCCATGACCTAATACCCGGGTATTACCTTCAGGAAGCTTGAACACCCCAAATATTTTCTTTTCATTTTACATTTTTTTTTTGGTGTAACCTACTCCAAAAGGTCTGAAACATGTTCCTAAAAAGGTTTTGGACAGTGATTTTAACCCTAACACCAAAAACCTTAAACCTTACCCTAGCCCCAAAACCTAATACCCGGGTATTACCTTCAGGAAGCTTGAACACCCCAAATATATTTTTTTCATTTTACATTTTTTTTTGTCTAACTAACTCCAAAAGGTTGGAAAAGAGTTCCTACAAAGGTTTTGGACAGTGATTTAAACCCTAACACCAAAAACCTTAAACCTTACCCTAGCCCCAAAACCTAATACCCGGGTATTACCTTCAGTAAGCCCGAACACCCCAAATATTTTTTTTTCATTTTACATTTTTTTTTGGTGTAACCAACTCTAAAAGGTCTTAAACATGTTCCTAAAAAGGTTTTGGACACTGATTTTAACTCTAACACCAAAAACCTTAAACCTAATCCTAGCCCCAAAACCTAATACCCGGGTATTACCTTCAGGAAGCCCGAACACCCCAAATTTTTTTTTTCTTTTTCTTTTTTTTTTGTCTAACTAACTCCCAGAGGTCTGAAAGATGTTCCTTAAAAAATATTGGACAGTGATTTTAACCCTAACGCCAAAAACCTTAAACCTAATCCTAGCCCCAAAACCTAATACCCGGGTATTACCTTCAGGAAGCCCGAACACCCCAAATATATATTTTTTATTTTTCTATTTGTTTTGGTCTAACTTGCTCTCAAAGGTTAGAAAAGAGTTCCTACAAAGGATTTGGACATTGATTTTAACCCTAACGCCAAAAAACTTAAACATTACCCTAGCCCAGAAACCTAGGATTACCTTCAGGAAGCCCGAACACCCAAAATAATTTTTTTTTCATTATACATTTTTTTTGGTGTAACCAACTCCAAAAGGTCTGAAACATGTTCCTAAAAAGGTTTTGGACAGTGATTTTAACCCTTACGCCAAAAACTTTAAACCTTACCCTAGCCCCATAACCTAATACCCGGGTATTACCTTCAGGAAGCCCGAACACCCCAAATATTTTTTTTTCATTTATCTTTTTTTTTTGTCTAACTAACTCCAAAAGGTTGGAAAAGATTTCCTAGAAAAGACTAACTCCAAAAGGTTGGAAAAAGACTTCCTACAAAGGTAATACAAAGTATTGCCTTCAGGAAGCCCGACGACCCCAAATATATTTTTTTCTTTTTTCTTTTTTTTTGGTCTAACTAACTCCAAAAGGTTGGAAAAGAGTTCCTACAAAGGTTTTGGACAGTGATTTTAACCCTAACACCAAAAACCTTAAACCTTACCCTAGCCCCAAAACCTAATACCCGGGTATTACCTTCAGGAAGCCCGAACACCCCAAATATTTTTTTTTTCATTTTACATTTTTTTTTGGTGTAACAAACTCCAAAAGGTCTTAAACATGTTCCTAAAAAGGTTTTGGACTTTGATTTTAACCCTAACGCCAAAAACCTTAAACCTTACCCTAGCCCCAAAACCTAATACCCGGGTATTACCTTCAGGAAGCCCGAACACCCAAAAAATATTTTTTTTCATTTTACTTTTTTTTTGGTGTAACCTAACTCCAAAAGGTTGGAAAAGAGTTCCTACAAAGGTTTTGGACAGTGATTTTAACCCTAACACCAAAAACCTTAAACCTTACCCTAGCCCCAAAACCTAATACCCGGGTATTACCTTCAGGAAGCCCGAACACCCCAAATATTTTTTTTTCATTTTACTTTTTTTTTTGGTCTAACCAACTCCAAAAGGTCTGGAAACATGTTCCTAAAAAGGTTTTGGACATGATTTTAACTCCTAAAACCAAAAACCTTAAACCTTCCTAGCCCCATAACCTAATACCCGGGTATTACCTTCAGGAAGCCCGAACACCCCAAATATTTTTTTTTCTTTTTCTTTTTTTTTTTTGTCTAACTAACTCCCAAAGGTCTGAAAGATGTTCCTTAAAAAATATTGGACAGTGATTTTAACCCTAACGCCAAAAACCTTAAACCTAATCCTAGCCCCAAAACCTAATACCCGGGTATTACCTTCAGGAAGCCCGAACACCCCAAATATATATTTTTTCATTTTTCTATTTGTTTTGGTCTAACAAACTCTCAAAAGGTTAGAAAAGAGTTCCTACAAAGGTTTTGGACATTGATTTTAACCCTAACGCCAAAAAACTTAAACATTACCCTAGCCCAGAAACCTAGGATTACCTTCAGGAAGCCCGAACACCCAAAATAATTTTTTTTCATTTTACATTTTTTTTGGTGTAACCAACTCCAAAAGGTCTGAAACATGTTCCTAAAAAGGTTTTGGACAGTGATTTTAACCCTTACGCCAAAAACCTTAAACCTTACCCTAGCCCCATAACCTAATACCCGGGTATTACCTTCAGGAAGCCCGAACACCCCAAATATTTTTTTTTCATTTATCTTTTTTTTTTTGTCTAACTAACTCCAAAAGGTTGGAAAAGACTTCCTACAAAAGACTAACTCCAAAAGGTTGGAAAAAGACTTCCTACAAAGGTAATACAAAGTATTACCTTCAGGAAGCCCGACGACCCCAAATATATTTTTTTCTTTTTTCTTTTTTTTGGTCTAACTAACTCCAAAAGGTTGGAAAAGAGTTCCTACAAAGGTTTTGGACAGTGATTTTAACCCTAACGCCAAAAACCTTAAACCTTACCCTAGCCCCAAAACCTAATACCCGGGTATTACCTTCAGGAAGCCCGAACACCCCAAATATTTTTTTTTCATTTTACATTTTTTTTTTGGTGTAACCAACTCCAAAAGGTCTTAAACATGTTCCTAAAAAGGTTTTGGACAGTGATTTTAACCCTAACGCCAAAAACCTTAAACATTACCCTAGCCCAGAAACCTAGTATTACCTTCAGGAAGCCCGAACACCCCAAAAAAAATTTTTTTTCATTTTACATTTTTTTTGGTGTAACCAACTCCAAAAGGTCTGAAACATGTTCCTAAAAAGGTTTTGGACAGTGATTTTAACCCTTACGCCAAAAACCTTAAACCTTACCCTAGCCCCATAACCTAATACCCGGGTATTACCTTCAGGAAGCCCGAACACCCCAAATATTTTTTTTTCATTTATCTTTTTTTTTTGTCTAACTAACTCCAAAAGGTTGGAAAAGACTTCCTAAAGACATGATTTTAACCCTAACGCCAAAACCTTAAACCTAACTCCAAACTTCTACTAGCCCCAAACCTAATACCGGGTATTACCTTCAGGAAGCCCGAACGACCCCAAATATATTTTTTTCTTTTTTCTTTTTTTTGGTCTAACTAACTCCAAAAGGTTGAAAAGAGTTCCTTACAAAGGTTTTGGACAGTGATTTTAACCCTAACGCCAAAAACCTTAAACCTTACCCTAGCCCCAAAACCTAATACCCGGGTATTACCTTCAGGAAGCCCGAACACCCCAAATATTTTTTTTTTCATTTTACATTTTTTTTTGGTGTAACCAACTCCAAAAGGTCTTAAACATGTTCCTAAAAAGGTTTTGGACAGTGATTTTAACCCTAACGCCAAAAACCTTAAACATTACCCTAGCCCAGAAACCTAGTATTACCTTCAGGAAGCCCGAACACCCAAAAAAAATTTTTTTTCATTTTACATTTTTTTTGGTGTAACCAACTCCAAAAGGTCTGAAACATGTTCCTAAAAAGGTTTTGGACAGTGATTTTAACCCTTACGCCAAAAACCTTAAACCTTACCCTAGCCCCATAACCTAATACCCGGGTATTACCTTCAGGAAGCCCGAACACCCCAAATATTTTTTTTTCATTTATCTTTTTTTTTTTGTCTAACTAATTCCCAAAGGTTGGAAAAGAGTTCCTACAAAGGTTTTGGACAGTGATTTTAACCCTCACGCCAAAAACCTTAAACCTTACCCTAGCCCCATAACCTAATACCCGGGTATTACCTTCAGGAAGCCCGAACACCCCAAATATATATTTTTTATTTTTCTATTTGTTTTGGTCTAACTTGCTCTCAAAGGTTGGAAAAGAGTTCCTACAAAGGTTTTGGACATTGATTTTAACCCTAACGCCAAAAACCTTAAACATTACCCTAGCCCCAGAAACCTAGGATTACCTTCAGGAAGCCCGAACACCCAAAATAAATTTTTTTTCATTTTACATTTTTTTTGGTGTAACCAACTCCAAAAGGTCTGAAACATGTTACTAAAAAGGTTTTGGACAGTGATTTTAACCCTTACGCCAAAAACCTTAAACCTTACCCTAGCCCCATAACCTAATACCCGGGTATTACCTTCAGGAAGCCCGAACACCCCAAATATTTTTTTTTCATTTATCTTTTTTTTTTTTGTCTAACTAACTCCAAAAGGTTGGAAAATAGTTCCTACAAAGGTTTTGGACAGTGATTTTAACCCTAACGCCAAAAACCTTAAACCTTACCCTAGCCCCATAACCTAATACCCGGGTATTACCTTCAGGAAGCTTGAACACCCCAAATATTTTTTTTTCATTTTACATTTTTTTTTTGGTGTAACCTACTCCAAAAGGTCTGAAACATGTTCCTAAAAAGGTTTTGGACATTGATTTTAACCCTAACGCCAAAAACCTTAAACCTTACCCTAGCCCCATAACCTAATACCTGGGTATTTCCTTCAGGAAGCCCGAAGACCCCAAATATATTTTTTTTTTTTTTTTTTTTTGGTCTAACTAACTCCAAAGGTCTGAAACATGTTCCTAAAAAATTTTGGACAGTGATTTTAACCCTAACGCCAAAAACCTTAAACCTTACCCTAGCCCCAAAACCCAATACCCGGGTATTACCTTCAGGAAGCCCGAAGACCCCAAATATTTTTTTTTCATTTTACATTTTTTTTTGGTGTAACCAACTCTAAAAGGTCTGAAACATGTTCCTAAAAAGGTTTTGGACAGTGATTTTAACCCTAACACCAAAAACCTTAAACCTTACCCTAGCCCCATAACCTCATACCCGGGGATTACCTTCAGGAAGCCCGAACACCCCAAATATATATTTTTTTCTTTTTTTTTTTTTTTTGTCTAACTAACTCCCAAAGGTCTGAAACATGTTCCTTAAAAAATATTGGACAGTTATTTTAACCCTAACGCCAAAAACCTTAAACCTAACTCTAGCCCCAAAACCTAATACCCGGGTATTACCTTCAGGAAGCCTGAACACCCCAAATATTTTTTTTTCATTTATCTTATTTTTTTTTGTCTAACTTATTCCCAAAGGTTGGAAAAGAGTTCCTACAAAGGTTTTGGACAGTGATTTTTACCCTCACGCCGAAAAACCTTAAACCTTACCCTAGCCCCATAACCTAATACCCGGGTATTACCTTCAGGAAGCCCGAACACCCCAAATATATATTTTTTATTTTTCTTTTTTTTTGGTCTAACTTGCTCTCAAAGGTTGGAAAAGAGTTCCTACAAAGGTTTTGGACATTGATTTTAACCCTAACGCCAAAAACCTAAAACATTACCCTAGCCCAGAAACCTAGTATTACCTTCAGGAAGCCCGAACACCCAAAAAAAATTTTTTTTCATTTTACATTTTTTTTGGTGTAACCAACTCCAAAAGGTCTGAAACATGTTCCTAAAAAGGTTTTGGACAGTGATTTTGACCCTTACGCCAAAAACCTTAAACCTTACCCTAGCCCCATAACCTAATACCTTGGTATTACCTTCAGGAAGCCCGAACACTCCAAATATTTTTTTTCATTTTTCTTTTTTTTTTGGTCTAACTAACTCCAAAAGGTTGGAAAATAGTTCCTACAAAGGTTTTGGACAGTGATTTTAACCCTTACGCCAAAAACCTTAAACCTTACCCTAGCCCCATAACCTAATACCCGGGTATTACCTTCAGGAAGCCCGAACACCCCAAATATATTTTTTTCATTTTTTTTTTTTTTTTGGTCTAACTAACTCCAAAAGGTCGGAAAAGCATTCCTACAAAGGTTTTGGACGGTGATTTTAACCCTTACGCCAAAAACCTTAAACCTTACCCTAGCCCCATAACCTAATACCCGGGTATTACCTTCAGGAAGCCCGAACACCCCAAATATATATTTTTTATTTTTTTCTTTTTGTTTTGGTCTAACTTGCTCTCAAAGGTTGGAAAAGAGTTCCTACAAAGGTTTTGGACAGTGATTTTAACCCTAACGCCAAAAACCTTAAACCTTACCCTAGCCCCATAACCTAATACCCGGGTATTACCTTCAGGAAGCCCGAACACCCCAAATATTTTTTTTTCATTTTTCGTTTTTTTTTGGTCTAACTAACTCAAAAAGGTTGGAAAATAGTTCCTACAAAGGTTTTGGACAGTGATTTTAACCCTAACGCCAAAAACCTTAAACCTTACCCTTGCCCCATAACCTAATACCTGGGTATTACCTTCAGGAAGCCCGAACACCCCAAATATATTTTTTTTTTTTTTTTTTTTTTTTTGGTCTAACTAACTCCAAAAGGTCGGAAAAGCATTCCTACAAAGGTTTTGGACGGTGATTTTAACCCTAACGCCAAAAACCTAAAACCTTACCCTAGCCCCAGAAACCTAATAGTATTACCTTCAGGAAGCCCGAACACCCAAAAAAATTTTTTTTTCATTTTACATTTTTTTTGGTGTAACCAACTCCAAAAGGTCTGAAACATGTTCCTAAAAAGGTTTTGGACAGTGATTTTAACCCTAACGCCAAAAACCTTAAACCTTACCCTAGCCCCATAACCTAATACCCGGGTATTACCTTCAGGAAGCCCGAACACCCCAAATATTTTTTTTTCATTTATCTTTTTTTTTTGTCTAACTAACTCCAAAAGGTTGGAAAAGAGTTCCTACAAAGGTTTTGGACAGTGATTTTAACCCTAACGCCAAAAACCTTAAACCTTACCCTAGCCCCATAACCTAATACCCGGGTATTACCTTCAGGAAGCCCGAACACCCCAAATATATATTTTTTATTTTTTTATTTTTTTTTTGGTCTAACTTGCTCTCAAAGGTTGGAAAAGAGTTCCTACAAAGGTTTTGGACATTGATTTCAACCCTAACGCCAAAAAACTTAAACATTACCCTAGCCCAGAAACCTAGGATTACCTTCAGGAAGCCCGAACACCCAAAATAAATTTTTTTTTCATTTTACATTTTTTTTGGTGTAACCAACTCCAAAAGGTCTGAAACATGTTACTAAAAAGGTTTTGGACAGTGATTTTAACCCTAACGCCAAAAACCTTAAACCTTACCCTAGCCCCATAACCTAATACCCGGGTATTACCTTCAGGAAGCCCGAACACCCCAAATATTTTTTTTTTTATTTTTTTTTTTTTTGTCTAACTAACTCCAAAAGGTTGGAAAATAGTTCCTACAAAGGTTTTGGACAGTGATTTTAACCCTAACGCCAAAAACCTTAAACCTTACTATAGCCCCATAACCTAATACCCGGGTATTACCTTCAGGAAGCTTGAACACCCCAAATATTTTTTTTTCATTTTACATTTTTTTTGGTGTAACCTACTCCAAAAGGTCTGAAACATGTTCCTAAAAGGTTTTGGACATTGATTTTAACCCTAACGCCAAAAACCTTAAACCTTACCCTAGCCCCATAACCTAATACCTGGGTATTTCCTTCAGGAAGCCCGAAGACCCCAAATATATTTTTTTCTTTTTTTTTTTTTTTGGTCTAACTAAGTCCCAAAGGTCTGAAACATGTTCCTTAAAAAATATTGGACAGTGATTTTAACCCTAACGCCAAAAACCTTAAACCTTACCCTAGCCCCAAAACCTAATACCCGGGTATTACCTTCAGGAAGCCCGAACACCCCAAATATTTTTTTTTCATTTTACATTTTTTTTTGGTGTAACCAACTCTAAAAGGTCTTAAACATGTTCCTAAAAAGGTTTTGGACAGTGATTTTAACCCTAACACCAAAAACCTTAAACCTTACCCTAGCCCCATAACCTAATACCCGGGTATTACCTTCAGGAAGCCCGAACACCCCAAATATATATTTTTTTCTTTTTTTTTTTTTTGTCTAACTAACTCCCAAAGGTCTGAAACATGTTCCTTAAAAAATATTGGACAGTGATTTTAACCCTAACGCCAAAAACCTTAAACCTTACCCTAGCCCCATAACCTAATACCCGGGTATTACCTTCAGGAAGCCCGAACACCCCAAATATATATTTTTTATTTTTCTTTTTTTTTTTGGTCTAACTTATTCCCAAAGGTTGGAAAAGAGTTCCTACAAAGGTTTTGGACAGTGATTTTAACCCTAACGCCAAAAACCTTAAACCTTACCCTAGCCCCATAACCTAATACCCGGGTATTACCTTCAGGAAGCCCGAACACCCCAAATATATATTTTTTATTTTTCTTTTTGTTTTGGTCTAACTTGCTCTCAAAGGTTGGAAAAGAGTTCCTACAAAGGTTTTGGACATTGATTTTAACCCTAACGCCAAAAACCTAAAACATTACCCTAGCCCAGAAACCTAGTATTACCTTCAGGAAGCCCGAACACCCAAATATTTTTTTTCATTTTACATTTTTTTTGGTGTAACCAACTCCAAAAGGTCTGAAACATGTTCCTAAAAAGGTTTTGGACAGTGATTTTAACCCTTACGCCAAAAACCTTAAACCTTACCCTAGCCCCATAACCTAATACCCGGGTATTACCTTCAGGAAGCCCGAACACCCCAAATATTTTTTTTCATTTTTCGTTTTTTTTGGTCTAACTAACTCCAAAAGGTTTGAAACATGTTCCTAAAAAGGTTTTGGACAGTGATTTTAACCCTAACGCCAAAAACCTTAAACCTTACCCTAGCCCCATAACCTAATACCCGGGTATTACCTTCAGGAAGCCCGAACACCCCAAATATATTTTTTTCATTTTTTTTTTTTTTTGGTCTAACTAACTCCAAAAGGTCGGAAAAGCATTCCTACAAAGGTTTTGGACAGTGATTTTAACCCTAACGCCAAAAACCTTAAACCTTACCCTAGCCCCAAAACCTAATACCCGGGTATTACCTTCAGGAAGCCCGAACACCCCAAATATATATTTTTTATTTTTCTTTTTGTTTTGGTCTAACTTGCTCTCAAAGGTTGGAAAAGAGTTCCTACAAAGGTTTTGGACATTGATTTTAACCCTAACGCCAAAAACCTAAAACATTACCCTAGCCCAGAAACCTAGTATTACCTTCAGGAAGCCCGAACACCCAAAAAAAATTCTTTTTCATTTTACATTTTTTTTGGTGTAACCAACTCCAAAAGGTCTGAAACATGTTCCTAAAAAGGTTTTGGACAGTGATTTTAACCCTTACGCCAAAAACCTTAAACCTTACCCTAGCCCCATAACCTAATACCCGGGTATTACCTTCAGGAAGCCCGAACACCCCAAATATTTTTTTTCATTTTTCGTTTTTTTTTGGTCTAACTAACTCCAAAAGGTTGGAAAATAGTTCCTACAAAGGTTTTGGACAGTGATTTTAACCCTAACGCCAAAAACCTTAAACCTTACTATAGCCCCATAACCTAATACCCGGGTATTACCTTCAGGAAGCCCGAACACCCCAAATATTTTTTTTTTCATTTTACATTTTTTTTTGGTGTAACCAACTCCAAAAGGTCTGAAACATGTTCCTAAAAAGGTTTTGGACAGTGATTTTAACCCTAACACCAAAAACCTTAAACCTTACCCTAGCCCCAAAACCTAATACCCGGGTATTACCTTCAGGAAGCTTGAACACCCCAAATATTTTTTTTTCATTTTACATTTTTTTTTGGTGTAACCAACTCCAAAAGGTCTGAAACATGTTCCTAAAAAGGTTTTGGACAGTGATTTTAACCCTAACGCCAAAAACCTTAAACCTTACCCTTGCCCCATAACCTAATACCCGGGTATTACCTTCAGGAAGCCCGAAGACCCCAAATATATTTTTTTTTTTTTTTTTTTTTTTTTTTGGTCTAACTAACTCCAAAAGGTCGGAAAAGCATTTCTACAAAGGTTTTGGACGGTGATTTTAACCCTAACGCCAAAAACATTAAACCTAATCCTAGCCCCAAAACCTAATACCCGGGTATTACCTTCAGGAAGCCCGAACACCCCAAATTTTTTTTTCTTTTTTTTTTTTTTTGTCTAACTAACTCCAAAAGGTTGGAAAATAGTTCCTACAAAGGTTTTGGACAGTGATTTTAACCCTAACGCCAAAAACCTTAAACCTTACTATAGCCCCAAAACCTAATACCCGGGAATAACCTTCAGGAAGCTTGAACACCCCAAATATTTTTTTTTCATTTTACAATTTTTTTTGGTCTAACTAACTCCAAAAGGTCTGAAACATGTTCCTAAAAGGTTTTGGACAGTGATTTTAACCCTTACGCCAAAAACCTTAAACCTTACCCTAGCCCCATAACCTAATACCCGGGTATTACCTTCAGGAAACCCGAACACCCCAAATATATTTTTTTTCTTTTTCTTTTTTTTTTTGTCTAACTAACTCCCAAAGGTCTGAAACATGTTCCTTAAAAAAAATTGGACAGTTATTTTAACCCTAACGCCAAAAACCTTAAACCTAACCCTAGCCCCAAAACCTAATACTTCAGGAAGCTTGAATACCCCAAATATTTTTTTTTCATTTTACATTTTTTTTGGTGTTACCAACTCCAAAAGGTCTAAAACATGTTCCTAAAAAGGTTTTGGACAGTGATTTTAGCCCGAACACCCCAAATATTTTTTTTCATTTTTCGTTTTTTTTTGGTCTAACTAACTCCAAAAGGTTGGAAAATAGTTCCTACAAAGGTTTTGGACAGTGATTTTAACCCTAACGCCAAAAACCTTAAACCTTACTATAGCCCCATAACCAAATACCCGGGTATTACCTTCAGGAAGCCCGAACACCCCAAATATTTTTTTTTCATTTTACATTTTTTTTGGTGTTACCAACTCCAAAAGGTCTGAAACATGTTCCTAAAAGGTTTTGGACAGTGATTTTAACCCTAACGCCAAAAACCTTAAACCTTACCCTTGCCCCATAACCTATTACCTGGGTATTTTCTTCAGGAAGCCCGAACACCCCAAATATATATTTTTTATTATTCTTTTTTTTTTTTGGTCTAACTAACTCCAAAAGGTCGGAAAAACATTCCTACAAAGGTTTTGGACAGTGATTTTAACCCTAACGCCAAAAACCTTAAACCTTACCCTAGCCCCAAAACCTAATACCCGGGTATTACCTTCAGGAAGCCCGAACACCCCAAATATATTTTTTTTCTTTTTCTTTTTTTTTTGTCTAACTATTTCCCAAAGGTCTGAAACATGTTCCTTTAAATATATTGGACAGTTATTTTAACCCTAACCCCAAAAACCTTAAACCTAACCCTAGCCCCAAAACCTAATACCCGGGTATTACCTTCAGGAAGCTTGAACACCCCAAATATTTTTTTTTTCATTTATCTTTTTTTTTTTGTCTAACTTATTCCCAAAGGTTGGAAAAGAGTTCCTACAAAGGTTTTGGACAGTGATTTTTACCCTCACGCCGAAAAACCTTAAACCTTACCCTTATCCCATAACCTAATACACGGGTATTACCTTCAGGAAGCCCGAACACCCCAAATATACATTTTTTATTTTTCTTTTTGTTTTGGTCTAACTTGCTCTCAAAGGTTGGAAAAGAAATCCTACAAAGGTTTTGGACATTGATTTTAACCCTAACGCCAAAAACCTAAAACATTACCCTAGCCCAGAAACCTAGTATTACCTTCAGGAAGCCCGAACACCCCAAAAAATTTTTTTTTCATTTTACATTTTTTTTGGTGTAACCAACTCCAAAAGGTCTGAAACATGTTCCTAAAAAGGTTTTGGACAGTGATTTTAACCCTAACGCCAAAAACCTTAAACCTTACCCTAGCCCCATAACCTAATACCCGGGTATTACCTTCAGGAAGCCCGAACACCCCAAATATATTTTTTTTCATTTTTCGTTTTTTTTTGGTCTAACTAACTCCAAAAGGTTGGAAAATAGTTCCTACAAAGGTTTTGGACAGTGATTTTAACCCTAACGCCAAAAACCTTAAACCTTACCCTAGCCCCATAACCTAATACCCGGGTATTACCTTCAGGAAGCTTGAACACCCCAAATATTTTTTTTTCATTTTACATTTTTTTTTGGTGTAACCTACTCCAAAAGGTCTGAAACATGTTCCTAAAAAGGTTTTGGACATTGATTTTAACCCTAACGCCAAAAACCTTAAACCTTACCCTAGCCCCATAACCTAATACCCGGGAATAACCTTCAGGAAGCTTGAACACCCCAAATATATTTTTTTTCTTTTTCTTTTTTTTTTGTCTAACTAACTCCCAAAGGTCTAAAACATGTTCCTTAAAAAAAATTGGACAGTTATTTTAACCCTAACGCCAAAAACCTTAAACCTAACCCTAGCCCCAAAACCTAATACTTCAGGAAGCTTGAACTCCCCAAATATTTTTTTTTCATTTTACATTTTTTTTGGTGTTACCAACTCCAAAAGGTCTAAAACATGTTCCTAAAAAGGTTTTGGACAGTGATTTTAGCCCGAACACCCCAAATATTTTTTTTCATTTTTCGTTTTTTTTTGGTCTAACTAACTCCAAAAGGTTGGAAAATAGTTCCTACAAAGGTTTTGGACAGTGATTTTAACCCTAACGCCAAAAACCTTAAACCTTACTATAGCCCCATAACCTAATACCCGGGTATTACCTTCAGGAAGCCCGAACACCCCAAATATTTTTTTTTCATTTTACATTTTTTTTGGTGTTACCAACTCCAAAAGGTCTGAAACATGTTCCTAAAAAGGTTTTGGACAGTGATTTTAACCCTAACGCCAAAAACCTTAAACCTTACCCTTGCCCCATAACCTATTACCTGGGTATTTTCTTCAGGAAGCCCGAACACCCCAAATATATATTTTTTATTATTCTTTTTTTTTTTTGGTCTAACTAACTCCAAAAGGTCGGAAAAACATTCCTACAAAGGTTTTGGACAGTGATTTTAACCCTAACGCCAAAAACCTTAAACCTTACCCTAGCCCCAAAACCTAATACCCGGGTATTACCTTCAGGAAACCCGAACACCCCAAATATATTTTTTTTCTTTTTCTTTTTTTTTTGTCTAACTATTTCCCAAAGGTCTGAAACATGTTCCTTTAAATATATTGGACAGTTATTTTAACCCTAACCCCAAAAACCTTAAACCTAACCCTAGCCCCAAAACCTAATACCCGGGTATTACCTTCAGGAAGCCCGAACACCCCAAATATTTTTTTTTTCATTTATCTTTTTTTTTTGTCTAACTTATTCCCAAAGGTTGGAAAAGAGTTCCTACAAAGGTTTTGGACAGTGATTTTTACCCTCACGCCAAAAACCTTAAACCTTACCCTAGCCCCATAACCTAATACCCGGGTATTACCTTCAGGAAACCCGAACACCCCAAATATACATTTTTTATTTTTCTTTTTGTTTTGGTCTAACTTGCTCTCAAAGGTTGGAAAAGAAATCCTACAAAGGTTTTGGACATTGATTTTAACCCTAACGCCAAAAACGTTAAACATTACCCTAGCCCAGAAACCTAGTATTACCTTCAGGAAGCCCGAACACCCAAAAAAAATTTTTTTTCATTTTACATTTTTTTTGGTGTAACCAACTCCAAAAGGTCTGAAACATGTTCCTAAAAAGGTTTTGGACAGTGATTTTAACCCTAACGCCAAAAACCTTAAACCTTACCCTAGCCCCATAACCTAATACCTTGGTATTACATTCAGGAAGCCCGAACACCCCAAATATTTTTTTTCATTTTTCGTTTTTTTTTGGTCTAACGAACTCCAAAAGGTTGGAAAATAGTTCCTACAAAGGTTTTGGACAGTGATTTTAACCCTAACGCCGAAAACCTTAAACCTTACTATAGCCCCATAACCTAATACCCGGGTATTACCTTCAGGAAGCTTGAACACCCCAAATATTTTTTTTTCATTTTACATTTTTTTTTGGTGTAACCAACTCCAAAAGGTCTGAAACATGTTCCTAAAAAGGTTTTGGACAGTGATTTTAACCCTAACGCCAAAAACCTTAAACCTTACCCTAGCCCCATAACCTAATACCCGGGTATTACCTTCAGGAAGCTTGAACACCCCAAATATATTTTTTTTCTTTTTCTTTTTTTTTTGTCTAACTAACTCCCAAAGGTCTAAAACATGTTCCTTAAAAAAAATTGGACAGTTATTTTAACCCTAACGCCAAAAACCTTAAACCTAACCCTAGCCCCAAAACCTAATACTTCAGGAAGCTTGAACTCCCCAAATATTTTTTTTTCATTTTACATTTTTTTTGGTGTTACCAACTCCAAAAGGTCTAAAACATGTTCCTAAAAAGGTTTTGGACAGTGATTTTAGCCCGAACACCCCAAATATTTTTTTTCATTTTTCGTTTTTTTTTGGTCTAACTAACTCCAAAAGGTTGGAAAATAGTTCCTACAAAGGTTTTGGACAGTGATTTTAACCCTAACGCCAAAAACCTTAAACCTTACTATAGCCCCATAACCTAATACCCGGGTATTACCTTCAGGAAGCCCGAACACCCCAAATATTTTTTTTTCATTTTACATTTTTTTTGGTGTTACCAACTCCAAAAGGTCTGAAACATGTTCCTAAAAAGGTTTTGGACAGTGATTTTAACCCTAACGCCAAAAACCTTAAACCTTACCCTAGCCCCATAACCTATTACCTGGGTATTTTCTTCAGGAAGCCCGAACACCCCAAATATATATTTTTTATTATTCTTTTTTTTTTTTGGTCTAACTAACTCCAAAAGGTCGGAAAACATTCCTACAAAGGTTTTGGACAGTGATTTTAACCCTAACGCCAAAAACCTTAAACCTTACCCTAGCCCCATAACCTAATACCCGGGTATTACCTTCAGGAAACCCGAACACCCCAAATATATTTTTTTTCTTTTTCTTTTTTTTTTGTCTAACTATTTCCCAAAGGTCTGAAACATGTTCCTTTAAATATATTGGACAGTTATTTTAACCCTAACGCCAAAAACCTTAAACCTAACCCTAGCCCCAAAACCTAATACCCAGGTATTACCTTCAGGAAGCCCGAACACCCCAAATATTTTTTTTTCATTTATCTTATTTTTTTTGTCTAACTTATTCCCAAAGGTTGGAAAAGAGTTCCTACAAAGGTTTTGGACAGTGATTTTTACCCTCACGCCGAAAAACCTTAAACCTTACCCTTATCCCATAACCTAATACACGGGTATTACCTTCAGGAAGCCCGAACACCCCAAATATACATTTTTTATTTTTCTTTTTGTTTTGGTCTAACTTGCTCTCAAAGGTTGGAAAAGAAATCCTACAAAGGTTTTGGACATTGATTTTAACCCTAACGCCAAAAACCTAAAACATTACCCTAGCCCAGAAACCTAGTATTACCTTCAGGAAGCCCGAACACCCAAAAAAATTCTTTTTCATTTTACATTTTTTTTGGTGTAACCAACTCCAAAAGGTCTGAAACATGTTCCTAAAAAGGTTTTGGACAGTGATTTTAACCCTAACGCCAAAAACCTTAAACCCTTCCCTAGCCCCATAACCTAATACCTTGGTATTACCTTCAGGAAGCCCGAACACCCCAAATATTTTTTTTCATTTTTCGTTTTTTTTTGGTCTAACGAACTCCAAAAGGTTGGAAAATAGTTCCTACAAAGGTTTTGGACAGTGATTTTAACCCTAACGCCGAAAACCTTAAACCTTACTATAGCCCCATAACCTAATACCCGGGTATTACCTTCAGGAAGCTTGAACACCCCAAATATTTTTTTTTCATTTTACATTTTTTTTGGTGTAACCTACTCCAAAAGGTCTGAAACATGTTCCTAAAAAGGTTTTGGACAGTGATTTTAACCCTAACGCCAAAAACCTTAAACCTTACCCTAGCCCCATAACCTCATACCCGGGTATTACCTTCAGGAAGCCCGAAGACCCCAATATATTTTTTTCATTTTTTTTTTTTTTGGTCTAACTAACTCCAAAAGGTTGGAAAAGAGTTCCTACAAAGGTTTTGGACAGTGATTTTAACCCTAACACCAAAAACCTTAAACCTTACCCTAGCCCCAAAACCTAATACCCGGGTATTACCTTCAGGAAGCCCGAACACCCCAAATATTTTTTTTTTCATTTTACATTTTTTTTTGGTGTAACCAACTCCAAAAGGTCTTAAACATGTTCCTAAAAAGGTTTTGGACAGTGATTTTAACCCTAACGCCAAAAACCTTAAACCTTACCCTAGCCCCATAACCTAATACCCGGGTATTACCTTCAGGAAACCCGAACACCCCAAATATTTTTTTTTTCTTTTTCTTTTTTTTTTGTCTAACTAACTCCCAAAGGTCTGAAACATGTTCCTGAAAAAATATTGGACAGTGATTTTAACCCTAACGCCAAAAACCTTAAACCTTACCCTAGCCCCAAAACCTAATACCCGGGTATTACCTTCAGGAAGCCCGAACACCCCAAATATTTTTTTTTCATTTATCTTTTTTTTTTTGTCTAACTAACTCCAAAAGGTTGGAAAATAGTTCCTACAAAGGTTTTGGACAGTGATTTTAACCCTAACGCCAAAAACCTTAAACCTTACCCTAGCCCCAAAACCTAATACCCGGGTATTACCTTCAGGAAGCCCGAACACCCCAAATATTTTTTTTCATTTTCCGTTTTTTTTTGGTCTAACTAACTCCAAAAGGTTGGAAAATAGTTCCTACAAAGGTTTTGGACAGTGATTTTAACCCTAACGCCAAAAACCTTAAACCTTACCCTAGCCCCAAAACCTAATACCCGGGTATTACCTTCAGGAAACCCGAACACCCCAAAAATATATTTTTTTCTTTTTCTTTTTTTTTGTCTAACTAACTCCCAAAGGTCTGAAACATGTTCCTTAAAAAATATTGGACAGTTATTTTAACCCTAACGCCAAAAACCTTAAACCTAACCCTAGCCCCATAACCTAATACCCGGGTATTACCTTCAGGAAGCCCGAACACCCCAAATATTTTTTTTTCATTTATCTTATTTTTTTTGTCTAACTTATTCCCAAAGGTTGGAAAAGAGTTCCTACAAATGTTTTGGACAGTGATTTTAACCCTCACGCCAAAAACCTTAAACCTTAACCTAGCCCCATAACCTAATACCCGGGTATTACCTTCAGGAAGCCCGAACACCCCAAATATATATTTTTTATTTTTCTTTTTGTTTTGGTCTAACTTGCTCTCAAAGGTTGGAAAAGAGTTCCTACAAAGGTTTTGGACAGTGATTTTAACCCTAACGCCAAAAACCTTAAACATTACCCTAGCCCAGAAACCTAGTATTACCTTCAGGAAGCCCGAACACCCAAAAAAAATTCTTTTTCATTTTACATTTTTTTTGGTGTAACCAACTCCAAAAGGTCTGAAACATGTTCCTAAAAAGGTTTTGGACAGTGATTTTAACCCTAACGCCAAAAACCTTAAACCTTACCCTAGCCCCATAACCTAATACCTTGGTATTACCTTCAGGAAGCCCGAACACCCCAAATATTTTTTTTCATTTTTCGTTTTTTTTTTTGGTCTAACTAACTCCAAAAGGTTGGAAAATAGTTCCTACAAAGGTTTTGGACAGTGATTTTAACCCTAACGCCAAAAACCTTAAACCTTACTATAGCCCCATAACCTAATACCTTGGTATTACCTTCAGGAAGCTTGAACACCCCAAATATTTTTTTTCATTTTACATTTTTTTTGGTGTAACCTACTCCAAAAGGTCTGAAACATGTTTCTGAAAAGGTTTTGGACAGTGATTTTAACCCTAACACCAAAAACCTTAAACCTTACACTAGCCCCAAAACCTAATACCCGGGTATTACCTTCAGCAAGCTTGAACACCCCAAATATTTTTTTTTATTTTACATTTTTTTTTGGTGTTAACCAACTCCAAAAGGTCTGAAACATGTTCCTAAAAAGGTTTTGGACAGTGATTTTAACCCTAACGCCAAAAACCTTAAACCTTACCCTAACCCCAAAACCTAATACCTGGGTATTTCCTTCAGGAAGCCCGAAGACCCCAAATATATTTTTTTCTTTTTTTTTTTTTTTTGGTCTAACTAACTCCAAAAGGTTGGAAAAGAGTTCCTACAAAGGTTTTGGACAGTGATTTTAACCCTAACACCAAAAACCTTAAACCTTACCCCAGCCCCATAACCTAATACCCGGGTATTACCTTCAGGAAGCCCGAACACCCCAAATATATATTTTTTTCTTTTTCTTTTTTTTTTGTCTAACTAACTCCAAAAGGTCTGAAACATGTTCCTACAAAAATTTTGGACAGTGATTTTAACCCTAACACCAAAAACCTTAAACCTTACCCTAGCCCCAAAACCTAATACCCGGGTATTACCTTCAGGAAGCCCGAACACCCCAAATATATATTTTTTATTTTTCTTTTTTTTTGGTCTAACTTGCTCTCAAAGGTTGGAAAAGAGTTCCTACAAAGGTTTTGGACATTGATTTTAACCCTAACGCCAAAAACCTTAAACATTACCCTAGCCCCATAACCTAGTATTACCTTCAGGAAGCCCGAACACCCAAAACATTTTTTTTTTCATTTTACATTTTTTTTGGTGTAACCAACTCCAAAAGGTCTGAAACATGTTCCTAAAAAGGTTTTGGACAGTGATTTTAACCCTTACGCCAAAAACCTTAAACCTTACCCTAGCCCCATAACCTAATACCCGGGTATTACCTTCAGGAAGCCCGAACACCCCAAATATTTTTTTTTCATTTATCTTTTTTTTTTTGTCTAACTAACTCCAAAAGGTTGGAAACATGTTCCTACAAAGGTTTTGGACAGTGATTTTAACCCTAACGCCAAAAACCTTAAACCTTACCCTAGCCCCAAAACCTAATACCCGGGTATTACCTTCAGGAAGCTTGAACACCCCAAATATATTTTTTTTCATTTTACATTTTTTTTTGGTGTTACCAACTCCAAAAGGTCTGAAACATGTTCCTACAAAGGTTTTGGACGGTGATTTTAACCCTAACGCCAAAAACCTTTAACCTTACCCTAGCCCCAAAACCTAATACCCGGGTATTACCTTCAGGAATCTTGAACACCCCAAATATATTTTTTTCTTTTTTTTTTTTTTTGGTCTAACTAACTCCAAAAGGTTGGAAAAGAGTTCCTACAAAGGTTTTGGACAGTGATTTTAACCCTAACGCCAAAAACCTTAAACCTTACCCTAGCCCCAAAACCTAATTACCTTCAGGAAACCCGAACACCCCAAATATATATTTTTTTCTTTTTCTTTTTTTTTGGTCTAACTAACTCCCAAAGGTCTGAAACATGTTCCTTAAAAAATTTTGGACAGTTATTTTAACCCTAACGCCAAAAACCTTAAACCTTACCCTAGCCCCAAAACCTAATACCCAGGTATTACCTTCAGGAAGCCCGAACACCCCAAATATATATTTTTTTATTTTTCTTTTTGTTTTGGTCTAACTTGCTCTCAAAGGTTGGAAAAGAGTTCCTACAAAGGTTTTGGACATTGATTTTAACCCTAACACCAAAAACCTTAAACATTACCCTAGCCCCATAACCTAGTATTACCTTCAGGAAGCCCGAACACCCAAAACATTTTTTTTTTCATTTTACATTTTTTTTGGTGTAACCAACTCCAAAAGGTCTGAAACATGTTCCTAAAAGGTTTTGGACAGTGATTTTAACCCTACGCCAAAAACCTTAAACCTTACCCTAGCCCCAAAACCTAATACCCGGGTATTACCTTCAGGAAGCCCGAACACCCCAAATATTTTTTTTTCATTTATCTTTTTTTTTTTTTTTTCTTACTAACTCCAAAAGGTTGGAAAAAGACTTCCTACAAAAGACTAACTCCAAAAGGTTGGAAAAGACTTCCTACAAAGGTAATACCCGGGTATTACCTTCAGGAAGCCCGACCACCCCAAATATTTTTTTTCATTTTACATTTTTTTTGGTGTAACCAACTCCAAAAGGTCTGAAACATGTTCCTAAAAAGGTTTTGGACAGTGATTTTAACCCTAACGCCAAAAACCTTAAACCTTACCCTAGCCCCATAACCTAATACCCGGGTATTACCTTCAGGAAGCCCAAAAACCCCAAATATTTTTTTTTCATTTTTTTTTTTTTTTTCGTCTAACTAACTCCAAAAGGTTGGAAAAGACTTCCTACAAAGGTTTTGGACAGTGATTTTAACCCTAACGCCAAAAACCTTAAACCTTACCCTAGCCCCAAAACCTAATACCCGGGTATTACCTTCAGGAAACCCGAACACCCCAAATATATATTTTTTTTTTTTTTTTTTTTTTTGTCTAACTAACTCCCAAAGGTCTGAAACATGTTCCTTAAAAGGTTTTGGACAGTGATTTTAACCCTAATGCCAAAAACCTTAAACCTAACCCTAGCCCCAAAACCTAATACCCGGGTATTACCTTCAGGAAGCCCGAACACCCCAAATATATTTTTTTCATTTTACATTTTTTTTTGGTGTAACCTACTCCAAAAGGTCTGAAACATGTTCCTACAAAGGTTTTGGACAGTGATTTTAACCCTAACACCAAAAACCTTAAACCTTACCCTAGCCCCAAAACCTAATACCCGGGTATTACCTTCAGGAAGCCCGAACACCCCAAATATATTTTTTTCATTTATCTTTTTTTTTTTTGTCTAACTCCAAAAGGTCTGAAACATGTTCCTAAAAAGGTTTTGGACAGTGATTTTAACCCTAACGCCAAAAACCTTAAACCTTACCCTAGCCCCATAACCTAATACCCGGGTATTACCTTCAGGAAGCCCGAACACCCCAAATATATATTTTTTTCTTTTTCTTTTTTTTTTGTCTAACTAACTCCCAAAGGTCTGAAACATGTTCCTTAAAAGGTTTTGGACAGTTATTTTAACCCTAACGCCAAAAACCTTAAACCTTACCCTAGCCCCATAACCTAATACCCGGGTATTACCTTCAGGAAGCCCGAAACCCCAAATATTTTTTTTCATTTTTCTTTTTTTTTTGGTCTAACTAACTCCAAAAGGTTGGAAAATAGTTCCTACAAAGGTTTTGGACAGTGATTTTAACCCTCACGCCAAAAACCTTAAACCTTACTATAGCCCCATAACCTAATACCCGGGTATTACCTTCAGGAAGCTTGAACACCCCAAATATTTTTTTTCATTTCACATTTTTTTTTGGTGTAACCAACTCCAAAAGGTCTGAAACATGTTCCTAAAAAGGTTTTGGACAGTGATTTTAACCCTAACGCCAAAAACCTTAAACCTTACCCTAGCCCCATAACCTAATACCCGGGTATTACCTTCAGGAAGCCCGAACACCCCAAATATATTTTTTTCATTTTTTTTTTTTTTGTCTAACTAACTCCAAAAGGTTGGAAAAGAGTTCCTACAAAGGTTTTGGACAGTGATTTTAACCCTAACGCCAAAAACCTTAAACCTTACCCTAGCCCCAAAACCTAATACCCGGGTATTACCTTCAGGAAGCCCGAACACCCCAAATATTTTTTTTTCATTTTACATTTTTTTTGGTGTAACCCACTCTAAAAGGTCTTACACATGTTCCTAAAAAGGTTTTGGACACTGATTTTAACCCTAACGCCAAAAACCTTAAACCTTACCCTAGCCCCATAACCTAATACCCGGGTATTACCTTCAGGAAACCCGAACACCCCAAATATATATTTTTTTCTTTTTCTTTTTTTTTTTGTCTAACTAACTCCCAAAGGTCTGAAACATGTTCCTTAAAAAATATTGGACAGTTATTTTAACCCTAATGCCAAAAACCTTAAACCTAACCCTAGCCCCAAAACATAATACCCGGGTATTACCTTCAGGAAGCCCGAAAACCCCAAATATTTTTTTTTCATTTATCTTATTTTTTTTGTCTAACTTATTCCCAAAGGTTGGAAAATAGTTCCTACAAAAGGTTTTGGACAGTGATTTTGACCCTTACGCCAAAAACCTTAAACCTTACCCTAGCCCCATAACCTAATACCCGGGTATTAAGCCCGAACAGGAAGCCCGAACACCCCAAATATATATTTTTTCTTTTTCTTTTTGTCTAACTTGCTCTCAAAGGTTGGAAAAGAGTTCCTACAAAGGTTTTGGACATTGATTTTAACCCTAACGCCAAAAACCTTAAAACATTACCCTAGCCCAGAAACCTAATACCGGGTATTACCTTCAGGAAGCCCGAACACCCCAAATATTTTTTTTCATTTTTCGTTTTTTTTTTGGTCTAACTAACTTCCAAAGGTCTGAAAGATGTTCCTAAAAATATTGGACAGTGATTTTAACCCTAACGCCAAAAACCTTAAACCTTACCCTAGCCCCAAAACCTAATACCCGGGTATTACCTTCAGGAAGCCCGAACACCCCAAATATTTTTTTTTCATTTTTCGTTTTTTTTTGGTCTAACTAACTCCAAAAGGTTGGAAACATGTTCCTAAAAAGGTTTTGGACAGTGATTTTAACCCTAACGCCAAAAACCTTAAACCTTACCCTAGCCCCATAACCTAATACCCGGGTATTACCTTCAGGAAGCTTGAACACCCCAAATATTTTTTTTTCAGTTTACATTTTTTTTTGGTGTAACCAACTCCAAAAGGTCTGAAACATGTTCCTAAAAAGGTTTTGGACAGTGATTTTAACCCTAACGCCAAAAACCTTAAACCTTACCCTAGCCCCAAAACCTAATACCCGGGTATTACCTTCAGGAAGCCCGAAAACCCCAAATATATTTTTTTTTTTTCTTTTTTTTTTTTTCGGTGTAACTAACTCCAAAAGGTCTGGAAAATAGTTCCTAAAAAGGTTTTGGACAGTGATTTTAACCCTAACGCCAAAAACCTTAAACCTTACCCTAGCCCCAAAACCTAATACCCGGGTATTACCTTCAGGAAGCCCGAACACCCCAAATATATATTTTTTCATTTATCTTTTTTTTTTTGTCTAACTAACTCCCAAAGGTCTGAAACATGTTCCTAAAAGGTTTTGGACAGTGATTTTAACCCTAACGCCAAAAACCTTAAACCTTACCCTAGCCCCAAAACCTAATACCCGGGTATTACCTTCAGGAAGCCCGAACACCCCAAATATTTTTTTTTCATTTATCTTTTTTTTTTTGTCTAACTTATTCCCAAAGGTTGGAAAAGAGTTCCTACAAAGGTTTTGGACAGTGATTTTAACCCTAACGCCAAAAACCTTAAACCTTACCCTAGCCCCATAACCTAATACCCGGGTATTACCTTCAGGAAGCCCGAACACCCCAAATATATATTTTTTATTTTTCTTTTTTTTTGGTCTAACTTGCTCTCAAAGGTTGGAAAAGAGTTCCTACAAAGGTTTTGGACAGTGATTTTAACCCTAACGCCAAAAACCTAAAACATTACCCTAGCCCAGAAACCTAGTATTACCTTCAGGAAGCCCGAACACCCCAAAAAAAAATTTTTTTCATTTTACATTGTTTTTTGGTGTAACCAACTCCAAAAGGTCTGAAACATGTTCCTAAAAAGGTTTTGGACAGTGATTTTAACCCTAACGCCAAAAACCTTAAACCTTACCCTAGCCCCATAACCTAATACCCGGGTATTACCTTCAGGAAGCCCGAACACCCCAAATACTTTTTTTTCATTTTATCTTTTTTTTTTTGTCTAACTCCAAAAGGTTGGAAAAGACTTCCTACAAAAGACATGATTTTAACCCTAACTCCAAAAGGTTGGAAAAGACTTACCCTAGCCCCAAAGGTAATACAAAGTATTACCTTTAGGAAGCCCGAACACCCCAAATATTTTTTTTTCATTTTACATTTTTTTTGGTGTAACCAACTCCAAAAGGTCTGAAACATGTTCCTAAAAAGGTTTTGGACAGTGATTTTAACCCTAACGCCAAAAACCTTAAACCTTACCCTAGCCCCAAAACCTAATACCCGGGTATTACCTTCAGGAAGCTTGAACACCCCAAATATTTTTTTTTCATTTTACATTTTTTTTTGGTCTAACTAACTCCAAAAGGTTGGAAAAGAGTTCCTACAAAGGTTTTGGACAGTGATTTTAACCCTAACGCCAAAAACCTTAAACCTTACCCTAGCCCCAAAACCTAATACCCGGGTATTACCTTCAGGAAGCCCGAACACCCCAAATATATTTTTTTCATTTATCTTATTTTTTTGTCTAACTTATTCCCAAAGGTTGGAAAAGAGTTCCTACAAAGGTTTTGGACAGTGATTTTAACCCTAACGCCAAAAACCTTAAACCTTACCCTAGCCCCATAACCTAATACCCGGGTATTACCTTCAGGAAGCCCGAACACCCCAAATATATATTTTTTATTTTTCTTTTTGTTTTGGTCTAACTTGCTCTCAAATGTTGGAAAAGAGTTCCTACAAAGGTTTTGGACATTGATTTTAACCCTAACACCAAAAACCTTAAACATTACCCTAGCCCAAAAACTTAGTATTACCTTCAGGAAGCCCGAACACCCAAAAAAGTTTTTTTCATTTTACATTTTTTTTTGGTGTAACCAACTCCAAAAAGTCTGAAACATGTTCCTAAAAAGGTTTTGGACAGTGATTTTAACCCTAACGCCAAAAACCTTAAACCTTACCCTAGCCCCATAACCTAATACCCGGGTATTACCTTCAGGAAGCCCGAACACCCCAAATATATTTTTTTTCATTTTACATTTTTTTTTGGTGTAACCAACTCCAAAAGGTCTTAAACATGTTCCTAAAAAGGTTTTGGACAGTGATTTTAACCCTCACGCCAAAAACCTTAAACCTTACCCTAGCCCCATTACCTAATACCCGGGTATTACCTTCAGGAAGCCCGAACACCCCAAATATATTTTTTTTTTTTTTTTTTTTTTTGTCTAACTAACTCCCAAAGGTCTGAAACATGTTCCTTAAAAAATATTGGACAGTGATTTTAACCCTAACGCCAAAAACCTTAAACCTTACCCTAGCCCCAAAACCTAATTCCTTCAGGAAACCCGAAGACCCCAAATATTTTTTTTTTCATTTATCTTTTTTTTTTGTCTAACTAATTCCCAAAGGTTGGAAAAGAGTTCCTACAAAGGTTTTGGACAGTGATTTTAACCCTAACGCCAAAAACCTTAAACCTTACCCTAGCCCCATAACCTAATACCCGGGTATTACCTTCAGGAAACCCGAACACCCCAAATATATTTTTTTTCTTTTTCTTTTTTTTTGTCTAACTAACTCCCAAAGGTCTGAAAGATGTTCCTTAAAAATATTGGACAGTCATTTTAACCCTAACGCCAAAAACCTTAAACCTACCCTAGCCCCAAAACCTAATATTTCCTTCAGGAAGCCCGTACACCCCAAATATTTTTTTTTTCATTTATCTTTTTTTTTGTCTAACTAATTCCCAAAGGTTGGAAAAGAGTTCCTACAAAGGTTTTGGACAGTTATTTTAACCCTAACGCCAAAAACCTTAAACCTAACACTAGCCCCAAAACCTAATACCCGGGTATTACCTTCAGGAAGCCCGAACACCCCAAATATATATTTTTTATTTTTCTTTTTTTTTGGTCTAACTTGCTCTCAAAGGTTGGAAAAGAGTTCCTACAAAGGTTTTGGACATTGATTTTAACCCTAACACCAAAAACCTTAAACCTTACCCTAGCCCCATAACCTAATACCCGGGTATTACCTTTAGGAAGCTTGAACACCCCAAATATATTTTTTTTCTTTTTCTTTTTTTTTGTCTAACTAACTCCCAAAGGTCTGAAAGATGTTCCTTAAAAATATTGGACAGTCATTTTAACCCTAACGCCAAAAACCTTAAACCTACCCCTAGCCCCAAAACCTAATATTTCCTTCAGGAAGCCCGTACACCCCAAATATTTTTTTTTCATTTATCTTTTTTTTTTGTCTAACTAATTCCCAAAGGTTGGAAAAGAGTTCCTACAAAGGTTTTGGACAGTGATTTTAACCCTCACGCCAAAAACCTTAAACCTTACCCTAGCCCCAAAACCTAATACCCGGGTATTACCTTCAGGAAGCCCGAACACCCCAAATATATTTTTTTCATTTATCTTTTTTTTTGTCTAACTTATTCCCAAAGGTTGGAAAAGAGTTCCTACAAAGGTTTTGGACAGTGATTTTAACCCTCACGCCAAAAACCTTAAACCTTACCCTAGCCCCATAACCTAATACCCGGGTATTACCTTCAGGAAGCCCGAACACCCCAAATATATATTTTTTATTTTTCTTTTTGTTTTGGTCTAACTTGCTCTCAAAGGTTGGAAAAGAGTTCCTACAAAGGTTTTGGACATTGATTTTAACCCTAACACCAAAAACCTTAAACATTACCCTAGCCCAAAAACTTAGTATTACCTTCAGGAAGCCCGAACACCCAAAAAAGTTTTTTTCATTTTACATTTTTTTTGGTGTAACCAACTCCAAAAAGTCTGAAACATGTTCCTAAAAAGGTTTTGGACAGTGATTTTAACCCTAACGCCAAAAACCTTCAACCTTACCCTAGCCCCATAACCTAATACCTGGGTATTTCCTTCAGGAAGCCCGAAGACCCCAAATATATTTTTTTCATTTTTTTTTTTTTTGGTCTAACTCCAAAAGGTTGGAAAAGAGTTCCTACAAAGGTTTTGGACAGTGATTTTAACCCTAACACAAAAACCTTAAACCTTACCCTAGCCCCAAAACCTAATACCCGGGTATTACCTTCAGGAAGCCCGAACACCCCAAATATTTTTTTTTCATTTTACATTTTTTTTGGTGTAACCAACTCTAAAAGGTCTGAAACATGTTCCTAAAAAGGTTTTGGACAGTGATTTTAACCCTAACGCCAAAAACCTTAAACCTTACCCTAGCCCCATAACCTAATACCCGGGAATTACCTTCAGGAAACCCGAACACCCCAAATATATATTTTTTTCTTTTATCTTTTTTTTTTGTCTAACTTATTCCCAAAGGTTGGAAAAGAGTTCCTACAAAGGTTTTGGACAGTGATTTTTACCCTCACGCCAAAAACCTTAAACCTTACCCTAGCCCCATAACCTAATACCCGGGTATTACCTTCAGGAAGCCCGAACACCCCAAATATATATTTTTTATTTTTCTTTTTGTTTTGGTCTAACTTGCTCTCAAAGGTTGGAAAAGAGTTCCTACAAAGGTTTTGGACATTGATTTTAACCCTAACGCCAAAAACCTAAAACATTACCCTAGCCCAGAAACCTAGTATTACCTTCAGGAAGCCCGAACACCCCAAATATTTTTTTTCATTTTTCGTTTTTTTTTGGTCTAACTAACTCCAAAAGGTTGGAAAATAGTTCCTAAAAAGGTTTTGGACAGTGATTTTAACCCTAACGCCAAAAACCTAAAACATTACCCTAGCCCAGAAACCTAGTATTACCTTCAGGAAGCCCGAACACCCCAAATATTTTTTTTTCATTTTTCGTTTTTTTTTGGTCTAACTAACTCCAAAAGGTTGGAAAATAGTTCCTAAAAAGGTTTTGGACAGTGATTTTAACCCTTACGCCAAAAACCTAAAACATTACCCTAGCCCAGAAACCTAGTATTACCTTCAGGAAGCCCGAACACCCCAAATATTTTTTTTCATTTTTCTTTTTTTTTGGTCTAACTAACTCCAAAAGGTTGGAAAATAGTTCCTAAAAAGGTTTTGGACAGTGATTTTAACCCTAACGCCAAAAACCTTCAACCTTACCCTAGCCCCATAACCTAATACCTGGGTATTTCCTTCAGGAAGCCCGAAGACCCCAAATATATTTTTTTCATTTTTTTTTTTTTTGGTCTAACTCCAAAAGGTTGGAAAAGAGTTCCTACAAAGGTTTTGGACAGTGATTTTAACCCTAACGCCAAAAACCTTAAACCTTACCCTAGCCCCAAAACCTAATACCCGGGTATTACCTTCAGGAAGCCCGAACACCCCAAATATTTTTTTTTCATTTTACTTTTTTTTTGGTGTAACCAACTCAAAAGGTCTTAAACATGTTCCTAAAAAGGTTTTGGACAGTGATTTTAACCCTAACGCCAAAAACCTTAAACCTTACCCTAGCCCCATAACCTAATACCCGGGTATTACCTTCAGGAAACCCGAACACCCCAAATATATTTTTTTTCTTTTATCTTATTTTTTTTGTCTAACTAACTCCCAAAGGTTGGAAAAGAGTTCCTACAAAGGTTTTGGACAGTGATTTTAACCCTCACGCCAAAAACCTTAAACCTTACCCTAGCCCCATAACCTAATACCCGGGTATTTCCTTCAGGAAGCCCGAACACCCCAAATATATATTTTTTATTTTTCTTTTTGTTTTGGTCTAACTTGCTCTCAAAGGTTGGAAAAGAGTTCCTACAAAGGTTTTGGACATTGATTTTAACCCTAACGCCAAAAACCTAAAACATTACCCTAGCCCAGAAACCTAGTATTACCTTCAGGAAGCCCGAACACCCCAAATATTTTTTTTCATTTTTCGTTTTTTTTTGGTCTAACTAACTCCAAAAGGTTGGAAAATAGTTCCTAAAAAGGTTTTGGACAGTGATTTTAACCCTTACGCCAAAAACCTAAAACATTACCCTAGCCCAGAAACCTAGTATTACCTTCAGGAAGCCCGAACACCCCAAATATTTTTTTTCATTTTTCTTTTTTTTTGGTCTAACTAACTCCAAAAGGTTGGAAAATAGTTCCTAAAAAGGTTTTGGACAGTGATTTTAACCCTTACGCCAAAAACCTTAAACATTACCCTAGCCCCATAACCTAGTATTACCTTCAGGAAGCCCGAACACTCAAAAAAATTCTTTTTCATTTTACTTTTTTTTTTTTGGTCTAACTAACTCCAAAAGGTCGGAAAAGAGTTCCTACAAAGGTTTTGGACAGTGATTTTAACCCTAACACCAAAAACCTTAAACCTTACCCTAGCCCCAAAAACCTAATACCCGGGTATTACCTTCAGGAAGCCCGAACACCCCAAATATTTTTTTTTCATTTTACATTTTCTTTGGTGTAACCTACTCCAAAAGGTCTGAAACATGTTCCTACAAAGGTTTTGGACAGTGATTTTAACCCTAACACCAAAAACCTTAAACCTTACCCTAGCCCCATAACCTAATACCCGGGTATTACCTTCAGGAAGCCCGAACACCCCAAATACTTTTTTTTCTTTATCTTTTTTTTTTTGTCTAACTAACTCCAAAAGGTTGAAAATGTTCCTAAACAATTGGACAGATTTTAACCCTAACGCCAAAACCTTGAAAAGACTACCCAAACCTAATACAAAGTATTACCTTCAGGAAGCCCGAACACCCCAAATATTTTTTTTCATTTTACATTTTTTTTGGTGTAACCAACTCCAAAAGGTCTGAAACATGTTCCTAAAAAGGTTTTGGACAGTGATTTTAACCCTAACGCCAAAAACCTTAAACCTTACCCTAGCCCCATAACCTAATACCCGGGTATTACCTTCAGGAAGCCCGAACACCCTAAACATTTTTTTTTCATTTGTTTTTTTTTTTTGTCTAACTAACTCCAAAAGGTTGGAAAAGACTTCCTACAAAGGTTTTGGACAGTGATTTTAACCCTAACACCAAAAACCTTAAACCTTACCCTAGCCCCAAAACCTAATACCCGGGTATTACCTTTAGGAAGCTTGAACACCCCAAATATTTTTTTTTCATTTTACATTTTTTTTTGGTGTTACCAACTCCAAAAGGTCTGAAACATGTTCCTAAAAAGGTTTTGGACAGTGATTTTAACCCTAACGCCAAAAACCTTAAACCTTACCCTAGCCCCATAACCTAATACCCGGGTATTACCTTCAGGAAACCCGAACACCCCAAATATTTTTTTTCTTTTTCTTTTTTTTTTGTCTAACTAACTCCAAAAGGTCTGAAACATGTTCCTAAAAAATTTTTGGACAGTGATTTTAACCCTAACGCCAAAAACCTTAAACCTTACCCTAGCCCCATAACCTAATACCCGGGTATTACCTTCAGGAAGCCCGAACACCCCAAATATTTTTTTTTTCATTTATCTTTTTTTTTTTTGTCTAACTAACTCCAAAAGGTTGGAAAAGAGTTCCTACAAAGGTTTTGGACAGTGATTTTAACCCTCACGCCAAAAACCTTAAACCTTACCCTAGCCCCATAACCTAATACCGGGTATTACCTTCAGGAAGCCCGAACACCCCAAATATATTTTTTTCATTTTTTCTTTTTTTTTGGTCTAACTAACTCCAAAAGGTTGGAAAAGAGTTCCTACAAAGGTTTTGGACAGTGATTTTAACCCTAACGCCAAAAACCTTAAACCTTACCCTAGCCCCATAACCTAATACCCGGGTATTACCTTCAGGAAGCCCGAACACCCCAAATATTTTTTTTTCATTTTACATTTTTTTTTTGGTGTAACCAACTCCAAAAGGTCTAAACATGTTCCTAAAAAGGTTTTGGACACTGATTTTAACTCTAACACCAAAAACCTTAAACCTTACCCTAGCCCCAAAACCTAATACCCGGGTATTACCTTCAGGAAACCCGAACACCCCAAATATATTTTTTTTCTTTTTCTTTTTTTTTTGTCTAACTAACTCCAAAGGTCTGAGACATGTTCCTTAAAAAATATTGGACAGTGATTTTAACCCTAATGCCAAAAACCTTAAACCTAACCCTAGCCCCAAAACCTAATACCCGGGTATTACCTTCAGGAAGCTTGAACACCCCAAATATTTTTTTTTTCATTTTACATTTTTTTTTTTGGTGTAACCTACTCCAAAAGGTCTGAAACATGTTCCTAAAAAGGTTTTGGACAGTGATTTTAACCCTAACACCAAAAACCTTAAACCTTACCCTAGCCCCAAAACCTAATACCCGGGTATTACCTTCAGGAAGCCCGAACACCCCAAATATTTTTTTTTCATTTATCTTTTTTTTTTTGTCTAACTAACTCCAAAAGGTTGGAAAAGAGTTCCTACAAAGGTTTTGGACAGTGATTTTAACCCTCACGCCAAAAACCTTAAACCTTACCCTAGCCCCAAAACCTAATACCCGGGTATTACCTTCAGGAAGCCCGAACACCCCAAATATTTTTTTTTCATTTATCTTTTTTTTTTGTCTAACTAACTCCAAAAGGTTGGAAAAGACTTCCTACAAAAGACTAACTCCAAAAGGTTGGAAAAGACTTCCTACAAAGGTAATACAAAGTATTACCTTCAGGAAGCCCGAACACCCCAAAAAATTTTTTTTTCATTTTACATTTTTTTTGGTGTAACCAACTCCAAAAGGTCTGAAACATGTTCCTAAAAAGGTTTTGGACAGTGATTTTAACCCTTACGCCAAAAACCTTAAACCTTACCCTAGCCCCATAACCTAATACCCGGGTATTACCTTCAGGAAGCCCGAACACCCCAAATATTTTTTTTTCTTTTTTGTCTAACTAACTCCAAAAGGTTGGAAAAGACTTCCTACAAAGGTTTTGGACAGTGATTTTAACCCTAACACCAAAAACCTTAAACCTTACCCTAGCCCCAAAACCTAATACCCGGGTATTACCTTCAGGAAGCCCGAACACCCCAAATATTTTTTTTTCATTTTTCTTTTTGTTTTGGTCTAACTTGCTCTCAAAGGTTGGAAAAGAGTTCCTACAAAGGTTTTGGACATTGATTTTAACCCTAACGCCAAAAACCTAAAACATTACCCTAGCCCCAAAACCTAATACCCGGGTATTACCTTTAGGAAGCTTGAACACCCCAAATATTTTTTTTTCATTTTTCTTTTTGTTTTGGTCTAACTTGCTCTCAAAGGTTGGAAAAGAGTTCCTACAAAGGTTTTGGACATTGATTTTAACCCTAACGCCAAAAACCTAAAACATTACCCTAGCCCAGAAACCTAGTATTACCTTCAGGAAGCCCGAACACCCCAAATATTTTTTTTCATTTTTCTTTTTTTTTGGTCTAACTAACTCCAAAAGGTTGGAAAATAGTTCCTAAAAAGGTTTTGGACAGTGATTTTAACCCTTACGCCAAAAACCTAAAACATTACCCTAGCCCAGAAACCTAGTATTACCTTCAGGAAGCCCGAACACCCAAAAAAATTTTTTTCATTTTACATTTTTTTTGGTCTAACTAACTCCAAAAGGTCGGAAAAGAGTTCCTAAAAAGGTTTTGGACAGTGATTTTAACCCTAACACCAAAAACCTTAAACCTTACCCTAGCCCCAAAACCTAATACCCGGGTATTACCTTCAGGAAGCCCGAACACCCCAAATATTTTTTTTTCATTTATCTTTTTTTTTTGTCTAACTAACTCCAAAAGGTTGGAAAAGACTTCCTACAAAAGACTAACTCCAAAAGGTTGGAAAAGACTTCCTACAAAGGTAATACAAAGTATTACCTTCAGGAAGCCCGAACACCCCAAATATTTTTTTTTCATTTTACATTTTTTTTTGGTGTAACCAACTCCAAAAGGTCTGAAACATGTTCCTAAAAAGGTTTTGGACAGTGATTTTAACCCTAACACCAAAAACCTTAAACCTTACCCTAGCCCCATAACCTAATACCCGGGTATTACCTTCAGGAAACCCGAACACCCCAAATATTTTTTTCTTTTTCTTTTTTTTTTGGTCTAACTAACTCCAATAGGTTGGAAAAGAGTTCCTACAAAGGATTTGGACAGTGAACTAACCCTAACACCAAAAACCTTAAACCTTACCCTAGCCCCTAAACCTAATACCCGGGTATTACCTTCAGGAAGCCCGAACACCCCAAATATATATTTTTTTTCATTTTATATATTTTTTTGGTTCAACCAACTCCAAAAAACCTTAAAACCTTAACCTAGCCCCATAACCTAATACCTTCAGGAAGCCCGAACACCCCAAATATATATTTTTTATTTATCTTTTTTTTTGGTCGAACTTGCTCTCAAAGGTTGGAAAAGAGTTCCTACAAAGGTTTTGGACACTGATTTTAACCCTAACGCCAAAAACCTTAAACATTACCCTAGCCCAGAAACCTAGTATTACCTTCAGGAAGCCCGAACACCCCAAAATATTTTTTTTTCATTTTACATTTTTTTGGTGTAACCAACTCCAAAAGGTCTGAAACATGTTCCTACAAAGGTTTTGGACAGTGATTTTAACCCTAACGCCAAAAACCTTAAAACTTACCCTAGCCCCATAACCTAATACCCGGGTATTACCTTCAGGAAGCCCGAACACCCCAAATATTTTTTTTCATTTATCTTTTTTTTTTTGTCTAACTAACTCCAAAAGGTTGGAAAAGACTTCCAACAAAAGACTAACTCCAAAAGGTTGGAAAAGACTTCCTACAAAGGTAATACAAAGTATTACCTTCAGGAAGCCCGAACACCCCCCAAAATATTTTTTTCATATTACATTTTTTTGGGTGTAACTTACTCCAAAAGGTCGGAAAAGAGTTCCTACAAAGGTTTTGGACAGTGATTTTAACCCTCACGCCAAAAACCTTAAACCTTACTATAGCCCCATAACCTAATACCCGGGTATTACCTTCAGGAAGCCCGAAAACCCCAAATATTTTTTTTTCATTTTTCGTTTTTTTTTGTGTAACCAACTCCAAAAGGTCTGAAACATGTTCCTACAAAGGTTTTGGACAGTGATTTTAACCCTAACGCCAAAAACCTTAAACCTTACCCTAGCCCCATAACCTAATACCCGGGTATTACCTTCAGGAAGCCCGAACACCCCAAATATTTTTTTTTCTTTTTCTTTTTTTTTTGGTCTAACTAACTCCAAAAGGTCTGAAACATGTTCCTTAAAAAATATTGGACAGTGATTTTAACCCTAACGCCAAAAACCTTAAACCTAATCCTAGCCCCAAAACCTAATACCCTGGTATTACCTTCAGGAAACCCGAACACCCCAAATATTTTTTTTTTCTTTTTCTTTTTTTTTTTTGTCTAACTAACTCCCAAAGGTCTGAAACATGTTCCTTAAAATATTGGACAGTGATTTTAACCCTAACGCCAAAAACCTTAAACCTAACCCTAGCCCCAAAACCTAATACCCGCGTATTACCTTCAGGAAGCCCGAACACCCCAAATATTTTTTTTTCATTTATCTTTTTTTTTTTGTCTTACTAATTCCCAAAGGTTGGAAAAGAGTTCCTACAAAGGTTTTGGACAGTGATTTTTACCCTCACGCCAAAAACCTTAAACCTTACCCTAGCCCCATAACCTAATACCCGGGTATTACCTTCAGGAAGCCCGAACACCCCAAATATATATTTTTTATTTATCTTTTTTTTTTGGTCGAACTTGCTCTCAAAGGTTGGAAAAGAGTTCCTACAAAGGTTTTGGACATTGATTTTAACCCTATCGCCAAAAACCTTAAACATTACCCTAGCCCAGAAACCTAGTATTACCTTCAGGAAGCCCGAACACCCCAAATATTTTTTTTTTCATTTTACATTTTTTTTGGTGTAACCAACTCCAAAAGGTCTTAAACATGTTCCTTAAAAAATATTGGACAGTGATTTTAACCCTTACGCCAAAAACCTTAAACCTAATCCTAGCCCCATTACCTAATACTTAAACCTGAAGGGTTGAGTAACCTTCAGGAAGCCCGAACACCCCAAATATATTTTTTTTCATTTTATATTTTTTTTTGTGTAACCAACTCCAAAAGGTCTGAATCTTGTTCCTTAAAAGGTTTTGGACAGTGATTTTAACCCTAACGCCAAAAACCTTAAACCTTACCCTAGCCCCAAAACCTAATACCTTCAGGAAGCCCGAAAACCCCAAATATTTTTTTTTCTTTTTTCTTTTTTTTTTTGTCTAACTAACTCCAAAAGGTCTGAAACATGTTCCTTAAAAATATTGGACAGTGATTTTAACCCTAATGCCAAAAGCCTTAAACCTTACCCTAGCCCCATAACCTAATACCCGGGTATTACCTTCAGGAAGCCCGAACACCCCAAATTTTTTTTTTTCTTTTTTCTTTTTTTTCTAGTCTAGCTCCCTCCAAAAGGTTGGAAAAGAGTTCCTACAAAGGTTTTGGACAGTGATTTTAACCCTAACGCCAAAAACCTTTAACCTTTTCCTAGCCCTGTAACATAATATATACATAATATTGCTCTACAAACACATAGTCTAAAAGATAGACAGCATAGCATACCAACTGAGCTGAGTCATTAAACTTTCTACCAACACATAATTTTTACACACAGATTGAGCTCGGAGACTCGACTGGAACATGTGACAGGTCGACATGCGCCGGCCATTGCAAGCCCTTGATCAGCCTACCTCAAACCGCCAAGTCAACTGACGAAAGCGGGGGCTATCACTCTATCTCTTTCCCACACCTAACCAGCCACTTACCTTCGGACAGACTTGTCACAATATCATTCAGAGAATCTGAGCCCATGCTCCTTCTGTGCACACAACCTCTCACCCCCCCCCCCCCCCCCCTTTATAGAATCTAAGATCTTCCAGTTTCAAGGGTGAGAGTGAATTCCAAAGAATCCTCCACCTTGGAACCTATACTAACACTACATTCCTCAGAAAACTAAACAAAAAACATCTAAACCCTAACAGCAATGACGAAAAGATAAATACTTTTCAAGACAAATTAACTCCTGACCCCACCCTGCCTCCCTCCTTTTCTCCCTCTCTCCTGATCTGTACCTCTCTCTCCTATCAGAGGATGAAAACCAGCAGGTGAGGAGAGTCTCAATGGCGAGTCACGTTGGCAAGATCTATTCTCTTTCTATCACTCGAATCCCTGCATGAGCAGAATGGTGCCAGATGGACCACCTGCTCCCACCACAATCCTCTGTGACTTTTTGACTCTATCCACTTTTAGAACTTAAAATAGTAATCAATAATCAACTGACCAACTCAGCTCAAACCAAACCCAAAACTCTGCCTAGAGAACTCTCACTTCCACGTTTACATATCTCTTTGTATCTTGTGAGGACCGTGAGGAGAGCAGAGCCTAGACCTAGTCGGGTCGGGTGACTATGTCCCTTGCTCACTCTCCTCACATGGATGGTGAGAGCTGGGGAGCTATGGGATGTTTCATCCGCCACCAAATCCCCCTCACCAATCTTTATTTTCCACCATCTCCACCTCTCCCTTAAACCCCCCTCTCCCTCTTCCCCTCTCTCTCTCTCTCTCTCTCTCTCCCCCCCTCTCTCTCTCTCTCTCTCTCTCCCTCATCTCTCTCCCTCATCTCTCCCGCTCTCTCTAACACCCCCCCTCTTTCTTATTCCCTCCCCTGCCCCTTTATTTTCACCTTCACAGAGGACAAATAGGTGATCTTCAGCCTCGGCCTACCCCAGCCGGGGGGTAACCCCTGTTGGGTCACCTATATTGAGGATTAAGAGAGACCTGAAGGGGAACCGCCGTGCCACCTAAATCCTCCCCCTCTAACATCTTTTTTAACACTCTAAAATTAGCCAGCTAACCCCACTACAAACAACTTCATCAAAAATTTAAATAATAAATACTTATTGATAACTGACCATCAGTGACACCAGACTAAGCTAGTAAAAAAGAACAGACATACACGTGCAGATTTTCCCTTAGGACATTGATCAAATTTACATTTCTGTCTGTCTTTTAGGGAACTGTTCTCTGTTTTTAAGCTCACTTCTGTTTTTTGCTATTTGCTCTTGACACTTCTTTTTTTCCTTTTTTCTTCTCCTTTCCCTTTTGCAATCCGCTTTTGTTCTTCTTTTATTTTTTATTTTTTCATTGTTTTATATTATTTTATTTTATTTTATTTTATTTCATTTTAGGGTTCCTGTGCTTTTGTTTGTCTTCCCCCCTCCCCTCTTTTTTCTTAGGAAGGACTGACTCCTGAGGTTCTCATGCCAGGAAAAATGTACCTCCCTCACTCACGGTTTTACCCACAATCCTTTGCTGCAACAGGGAGATTGATTCCCAAGGCTCTCATGGCAGAAAGGAAGTACCTCACTCACTCACGGTTTTACCCACAATCCTTTGCTGTAACAGGAAGATTGATTCCTTAGGCTCTCATCCCTCAGAACTAAAATACCCACAATCCCATACGATTGCATACAAATTTAATGTAGCAAAACTAAATTTAAAACAAATAAACTACATTAAAATTAACTTAAAACAACTTGAAAGTTTAAAATACAACCAAGAGACATCCATTCTGGAATACAAACATCGAGAAGAGAACACAACCATGTCTGAGAGGGACAGCACAAACCATGAGTCGAGCCCAACTCTGGGGATGACTTCTCCTGTCAAAAGCACATTTAAGTGCTGTGCACTAAAGAGCATTTCCTGTTGCTGTAATTGAGACAAAGCACTGACCACTGTACCAAGAAGACCGACCACCGCCTCGAGGAAGACGCCGCGCCGCCACCTGAGAGAAGACGCCGCACCTCTATCACTCCAAGCCGCCCACCACCGAGCTTCGACCCGCCGACGGCACCGAGTCCCAGCAAACCTTGCCGCGGAGCGCCTATCTTCTTTCCCCCGCCGAGGACCCCGGACTTCAGACACACCGCTGCCGCCGCGGCTGGACAGCTGGAACCTTTTCCCCCCTCCAACAGATTTTAGACTACTGGAAAAGAAACGCCTCACATCAACAACAACATAGGACCACTAGGGTAAGTCTACAAAAAACCTCTCAAACACCTCAAAATTACTCTTAATAGTTAGTTTTGTTTGTTGAACTTGAGTTTGTGTCTTTTTGAACTTGAGTTTGTGGTGTTTTTGAACTTGAGTTTGTGTCGTGTTTGAAGTTTGTGACAACTTATGAACTTGAGTTTGTTTCGCTTGATTTTTTGGCAATTGTTGAACTTGAGTCTTTGGTTTTTAGTGAACTTTAGTTGGTGGCAATTGTTGAACTTGAGTTTGTGGCGTTTGTTGAACTTGAGTTTGTGGCGTTTGTTGAACTTGAGTTTGTGAAGTGTTTGAACTTGAGTTTGTGTTTTTTTTAACTTGAGGTTGTGGCAATTGTTAAACTTGAGAATCGGGTGTTGGTTGAACTTGAGTTTGTGGTGTTCATTGAACTTGAGTTTGTGGAATATTTGAACTTGAGTATATTATGTTTTTTGAACTTGAGGTTCTGGTGTTTTTGAACTTGAGTTTGTGTGTTTTTTGAACTTGAGGTTGTGGAAATTGTTAAACTTGAGAATCGGGTGTTGCTTGAACTTGACTTGTTGTGTTTGTTGAACTTGAGTTTGTGTCGTTTTAGAACTTCAGTTTGTGTGGTGTTTTTGGAGTTGAGTTTGTGGCGTTTGTTGAACTTGAGTTTGTGGCGTGTTTGAACTTGAGTTTGTGGTGTTTTTTGAACTTGAGGTTGTGGAAATTGTTAAACCTGAGAATCGGGTGTTGGTTGAACTTGAAACTTTGACATTTGTTGAACTTGAGTTTGTGGTGTTTGTTGAACTTGAGTTTGTATCGTGTTTGAAATTGAGTTTGTGGTGTTTTTGAACTTGAGTTTGTGTGTTTTTTGAATTTGAGTTTGTGGTGTTTTTGAACTTCATTTTGTGGCACTTTTTTAACTTGAGTTTGTTGAACTTGAGTTTTTGGCAATTGTTTAATGTGAATATAGGTCATTTGTTGAATTTGAAATTTTGTCATTTTTTGAACTTAAGCTTGTGGTGTTTGATGAACTTGAGTTTGTGGCAATTGTTAACCTTGAGTCTGTATTTTTCTCTGAACTTTACTTGGTGGCAATTGTTGAACTTGAGTTTGTGGTGTTTGTTGTACTTGAGTTTGTGGCGTGTTTGAACTTGAGTTTCTGTTGGTTTTGAACTTGAGGTTGTGGAAATTGTTAAACTTGAGATTTGGGATTTGGTTGAACTTGAGTTTGTGAATCGTGTTTGAACTTGAGTTTGTGTCGTTTTAGAACTTCAGTTTGTGTGGTGTTTTTGAAGTTGAGTTTGTGGCGTTTGTTGAACTTGAGTTTGTGGCGTGTTTGAACTTGAGTTTGTGGTGTTTTTTGAACTTGAGGTTGTGGAAATTGTTAAACCTGAGAATCGGGTGTTGGTTGAACTTGAAACTGTGACATTTGTTGAACTTGAGTTTGTGGTGTTTGTTGAACTTGAGTTTGTATCGTGTTTGAAATTGAGTTTGTGGTGTTTTTGAACTTGGGTTTGTGTGTTTTTTGAATTTGAGTTTGTGGTGTTTTTGAACTTCATTTTGTGGCACTTTTTTAACTTGAGTTTGTTGAACTTGAGTTTTTGGCAATTGTTTAATGTGAATATAGGTCATTTGTTGAATTTGAAATTTTGTCATTTTTTGAACTTAAGCTTATTGTTGAACTTGAGTTTGTGGTGTTTGTTGTACTTGAGTTTGTGGCGTGTTTGAACTTGAGTTTCTGTTGGTTTTGAACTTGAGGTTGTGGAAATTGTTAAACTTGAGATTTGGGATTTGGTTGAACTTGAGTTTGTGAATCGTGTTTGAACTTGAGTTTGTGTCGTTTTAGAACTTCAGTTTGTGTGGTGTTTTTGAAGTTGAGTTTGTGGCAATTGTTAAACTTGTGACTTAGGTGTTGGTTGAACTTGAGTTTGTGGTGTTTTTGAACTTGAGTTTGTGAAGTGTTTGAACTAGATTTTCTGGTTATTTTTTAACTTGAGTCTGTGTGTTTTTCTAACGAGGTTGTGGAAATTGTTAAACTTGCGAAGTCGGCATTGGTTGAACTTGAGTTCGTGTGTTTGTTGAACTTGAGTTTTTGTCATTTAGAACTTGAGTTTGTGGTGTTTTTGAACTTGAGTTTTTGGCGTTTGTTGAACTTAAGTTTTTGTCGTTTTGAACTTGAGTTTGTGGTGTTTTTGAACTTGAGGTTTGAGCAGATGTTAAACTTGATATTTGGGTGTTGTTTGAACTTGAGTTTGTGTCGTGTTTGAACTTGAGTTTGTGTCGTGTTTGAACTTGAGTTTGTGGAAATTGTTAAACGTGAGAATTGGGTATTGGTTAAACTTGAGTTTGTGTGTTTGTTGAACCTGCGTTTGTCGCGTGTATGAACTTGAGATTTTGCTGTTTTGTGATCTTGAATTTGTGTGGGTTTTTTTTAACTTGAGTTTTTGGTGTTTTTGAATTTGAGTTTCTGTTGTTTTTGAACATGAGGTTGTGGCAATTTGTTAAACTTGAGATTTGGGTGTTGGTTGAAATTAAGTTTCGGCATTTTTGAACTTGAGTTTGTGGTGTTTTTGAACTTGAATATGTGTGTTTTTTGAACCTGAGTTTGTTGACCTTGAGTTTTTGGAAATTCTTTAATGTTAATATAGGTTATTTGTTGAATTTGAAATTTTGGCATTTTTTGAACTTAAGCTTGTGGTGTTTGTTGAACTTGAGTTTGTGGCAATTGTTAACATTGAGTCTGTATTTTTCTCTGAACATTAGTTGGTGGCAATTGTTGAACTTGAGTTCGTGTGTTTGTTGAACTTGAGTTTTTGTCGTTTAGAACTTGAGTTTGTGGTGTTTTTGAACTTGAGGTTTTGGCAAATGTTAAACTTGATATTTGGGTGTTGTTTGAACTTGAGTTTGTGTCATGTTTGAACTTGAGTTTGTGTCGTGTTTGAACTTGAGTTTGTGTCGTGTTTGAACTTGAGTTTGTGTCATGTTTGAACTTGAGTGTTGTGTTTGAACTTGAGTTTGTTGCAATTTTTGAACTTGAGTTTTGAACTTGAGTCTTTGGTTTTTAGTGAACTTTATTTGGTGGCAATTGTTAAACTTGAGTTTGTGTGTTTGTTGAACCTGAGTTTGTGTCGTGTTTGAACTTGAGATTTTGCTGTTTTGTGATCTTGAATTTGTGTGGGTTTTTTTAACTTGAGTTTTTGGTGTTTTTGAATTTGAGTTTCTGTTGTTTTTGAACATGAGGTTGTGGCAATTTGTTAAACTTGAGATTTGGGTGTTGGTTGAAATTAAGTTTCGGCATTTTTGAACTTGAGTTTGTGGTGTTTTTGAACTTGAATATGTGTGTTTTTTGAACCTGAGTTTGTTGAACTTGAGTTTTTGGCAATTCTTTAATGTTAATATAGGTTATTTGTTGAATTTGAAATTTTGGCATTTTTTGAACTTAAGCTTGTGGTGTTTGTTGAACTTGAGTTTGTGGCAATTGTTAACATTGAGTCTGTATTTTTCTCTGAACATTAGTTGGTGGCAATTGTTGAACTTGAGTTCGTGTGTTTGTTGAACTTGAGTTTTTGTCGTTTAGAACTTGAGTTTGTGGTGTTTTTGAACTTGAGGTTTTGGCAAATGTTAAACTTGATATTTGGGTGTTGTTTGAACTTGAGTTTGTGTCATGTTTGAACTTGAGTTTGTGTCGTGTTTGAACTTGAGTTTGTGTCGTGTTTGAACTTGAGTTTGTGTCATGTTTGAACTTGAGTGTTGTGTTTGAACTTGAGTTTGTTGCAATTTTTGAACTTGAGTTTTGAACTTGAGTCTTTGGTTTTTAGTGAACTTTATTTGGTGGCAATTGTTAAACTTGAGTTTGTGTGTTTGTTGAACCTGAGTTTGTGTCGTGTTTGAACTTGAGATTTTGCTGTTTTGTGATCTTGAATTTGTGTGGGTTTTTTTTTAACTTGAGTTTTTGGTGTTTTTGAATTTGAGTTTCTGTTGTTTTTGAACATGAGGTTGTGGCAATTTGTTAAACTTGAGATTTGGGTGTTGGTTGAAATTAGGTTTCAGCATTTTTGAACTTGAGTTTGTGGTGTTTTTGAACTTGAATATGTGTGTTTTTTGAACCTGAGTTTGTTGAACTTGAGTTTTTGGCAATACTTTAATGTTAATATAGGTTATTTGTTGAATTTGAAATTTTGGCATTTTTTGAACTTAAGCTTGTGGTGTTTGTTGAACTTGAGTTTGTGGCAATTGTTAACATTGAGTCTGTATTTTTCTCTGAACATTAGTTGGTGGCAATTGTTGAACTTGAGTTCGTGTGTTTGTTGAACTTGAGTTTTTGTCGTTTAGAACTTGAGTTTGTGGTGTTTTTGAACTTGAGGTTTTGGCAAATGTTAAACTTGATATTTGGGTGTTGTTTGAACTTGAGTTTGTGTCGTGTTTGAACTTGAGTTTGTGTCGTGTTTGAACTTGAGTTTGTGTCGTGTTTGAACTTGAGTTTGTGTCGTGTTTGAACTTGAGTTTGTGTCATGTTTGAACTTGAGAGTTGTGTTTGAACTTGAGTTTGTTGCAATTTTTGAACTTGAGTTTTGAACTTGAGTCTTTGGTTTTTAGTGAACTTTATTTGGTGGCAATTGTTAAACTTGCGTTTGTCGCGTGTTTGAACTTGAGTTTGTGTTGTTTTTTAACTTGAGGTTTTGGCAATTGTTAATCTTTAGATTTGGGTGTTGGTTGAACTTAAAACTTTGACATTTGTTGAACTTGACTTTGTGGAGTTCATTTAACTTGAGTTTGTGGTGTTTTTGAACTTGAATTTTTGTGTGTTTATTTTTAACTTGAGTTTGTGGTGTTTTTGAACTTGAATTTGTGTGTTTTTTGAACTTGAGGTTGTTGCAATTTTTGAACTTGAGTTTGTTGAACTTGAGTTTTTGGCAATTGTTAAATGTGAGTTTAGGTCATTTGTTGAATTTGAAATTTTGGCATTTTTTGAACTTAAGATTGTGGTGTTTGTTGAACTTGAGTTTGTGGCAATTGTTGAACTTGAGTCTGTATTTTTCCCTGAACTTTAGTTTGAATTTTTGTGTGTTTTTTTAATTTAAGTTTGTGGCAATTGTTAAACTTGAGATATGGGTGTTGGTTGAACTTGAGTTTGTGGTGTTTTTGAACTTGAGTTTGTGTGTTTGTTTAACTTGAGTTTGTGGCGTGTTTTGACTTGAGTTTCTGTTGTTTTTGAACTTGAGGTTGTGGCAATTTGTGGCGTTTGTTGAGCTTGATTTTGTGTCGTGTTTGAACTTGAGTTTGTGGTTTTTGTTGAACTTGAGTTTGTGTCGTGTTTGAACTTGAGTTTGTATGGTTTTTGAACTTGAGTTTGTTTCGTGTTTGAACTTGAGTTTGTGGCGTTTGTTGAATTTGAGTTTGTGTCATGTTTGAACTTGAGTTTGTGGTGTTTGTTGAAATTGAGTTTGTGTTGTGTTTGAACTTGAGTTAATGGAGTTTTTGAACTTGAGTTTGTGGTTTTTTTTAACTTGAGGGTGTGGAATTTGTTAAACTTTAGAATTGGGTATTGGTTGAACTTGAGTTTGTGATGTTTGTTGAACTTGAGTTTGTGATGTTTTTGAACTTGAGGTTGTGGAAATTGTTAAACTTGAGAATTGGGTATTGGTTGAACTTGAGTTTGTGGTGATTTTGAACTTAAATTTGTTTTGTGTTTGAACTTGAATTTGTGGCAACTGTTGAACTTGAGTTTGTGTCGTGTTTGAACTTGAGTTTGTGGTGTTTTTGAACTTGAGTTTTTGGTGTTTCTGAACTTGAGGTTGTGGAAATTGTTAAACTTGAGAATTGGGTATTGGTTGAACTTGATTTTTTTGTGTTTTTTAACTAGAGTTTGTGTCGTGTTTGAACTTGAGTTTGTGGTGTTTTTGAACTTGAGTTAGTGTGTTTGTTGAACTTGAGTTTGTGTCGTGTTTGAACTTTAGTTTGTGGCGTTTGTTGAGCTTGATTTTGTGTCGTGTTTGAACTTGAGTTTGTGGTTTTTGTTGAACTTGAGTTTGTGTCGTGTTTGAACTTGAGTCTGTGTGTTTTTTGAACTTGAGTTTGTTTCGTGTTTGAACTTGAGTTTGTGTCGTGTTTGAACTTGAGTTTGTGTCATGTTTGAACTTGAGTTTGTGGTGTTTTTGAACTTGAATTTGCGTGTTTGGTTAACTTGAGTTTTTGTGTTTTTTGAACTTAGGTTTCTGTTGTTTTTGAACTTGAGGTTGTGGAAATTGTTAAACTTGAGAATCAGGTGTTGGTTGAACTTGAGTTTGTGTGTTTGTTGAACTTGAGTTTGTGGTGTTTTTGAACTTGAGGTTGTTGAAATTGTTAATCTTGAGAATTGGGTATTGGTTGAACTTGAGTTTGTGTCGTGTTTGAACGTGAGTTTGGTTCGTGTTTTAACTTGAGTTTGTGATGTTTTTGAATTTGAGTTTGTGTTGGTTGAACTTGAGTTTGTGTTGTGTTTGAACTTGAGTTTGTGGTGTTTTTGAACTTGAGTTTGTGTGTTTGTTGAACTTGAGTTTGTGTTGTGTTCGATCTTGAGTTTGTGGTGATTTTGAACTTGAGTTTGTGACGTGTTTGAACTTGAGTTTGTGGCGTTTTTGAACTTGAGTTTGTGGTGTTTCTGAACTTGAGTTTTTGGTGTTTTTGAACTTGAGTTTGTGGCGTTTGTTGAACTTGAGTTTCTGTTGTTTTTTAACTTGAATTTGTGTCGTGTTTGAACTTGAGTTTGTGGCATTTGTTGAACTTGAGTTTGTGGTGTTTTTGAACTTGAGGGTGTGGAAATTTTTAAACTTGAGAATTGGGTTTTGGTTGAACTTGCGTTTTTGTGTTTTTTAAATTAGGTTTGTGTAGTGTTTGAACCTGAGTTTGTGGTGTTTTTGAACTTGAGGTGCATGTTTGGTGACCTTGAGTTTGTGTGTTTTTTGAACTTGAGTATCTATTGTTTTTTGAACTTGAAGTTGTGGTTTTTTTTTAACTTGAGGGTGTGGAATTTGTTAAACTTGAGATTTGGGTGTTGGTTGAAATTAAGTTTCGGCATTTTTGAACTTGAGTTTGTGGTGTTTTTGAACTTGAATATGTGTGTTTTTTGAACCTGAGTTTGTTGAACTTGAGTTTTTGGCAATTCTTTAATGTTAATATAGGTTATTTGTTGAATTTGAAATTTTGGCATTTTTTGAACTTAAGCTTGTGGTGTTTGTTGAACTTGAGTTTGTGGCAATTGTTAACATTGAGTCTGTATTTTTCTCTGAACATTAGTTGGTGGCAATTGTTGAACTTGAGTTCGTGTGTTTGTTGAACTTGAGTTTTTGTCGTTTAGAACTTGAGTTTGTGGTGTTTTTGAACTTGAGGTTTTGGCAAATGTTAAACTTGATATTTGGGTGTTGTTTGAACTTGAGTTTGTGTCATGTTTGAACTTGAGTTTGTGTCGTGTTTGAACTTGAGTTTGTGTCGTGTTTGAACTTGAGTTTGTGTCATGTTTGAACTTGAGTGTTGTGTTTGAACTTGAGTTTGTTGCAATTTTTGAACTTGAGTTTTGAACTTGAGTCTTTGGTTTTTAGTGAACTTTATTTGGTGGCAATTGTTAAACTTGAGTTTGTGTGTTTGTTGAACCTGAGTTTGTGTCGTGTTTGAACTTGAGATTTTGCTGTTTTGTGATCTTGAATTTGTGTGGGTTTTTTTTTAACTTGAGTTTTTGGTGTTTTTGAATTTGAGTTTCTGTTGTTTTTGAACATGAGGTTGTGGCAATTTGTTAAACTTGAGATTTGGGTGTTGGTTGAAATTAGGTTTCAGCATTTTTGAACTTGAGTTTGTGGTGTTTTTGAACTTGAATATGTGTGTTTTTTGAACCTGAGTTTGTTGAACTTGAGTTTTTGGCAATTCTTTAATGTTAATATAGGTTATTTGTTGAATTTGAAATTTTGGCATTTTTTGAACTTAAGCTTGTGGTGTTTGTTGAACTTGAGTTTGTGGCAATTGTTAACATTGAGTCTGTATTTTTCTCTGAACATTAGTTGGTGGCAATTGTTGAACTTGAGTTCGTGTGTTTGTTGAACTTGAGTTTTTGTCGTTTAGAACTTGAGTTTGTGGTGTTTTTGAACTTGAGGTTTTGGCAAATGTTAAACTTGATATTTGGGTGTTGTTTGAACTTGAGTTTGTGTCGTGTTTGAACTTGAGTTTGTGTCGTGTTTGAACTTGAGTTTGTGTCGTGTTTGAACTTGAGTTTGTGTCGTGTTTGAACTTGAGTTTGTGTCATGTTTGAACTTGAGAGTTGTGTTTGAACTTGAGTTTGTTGCAATTTTTGAACTTGAGTTTTGAACTTGAGTCTTTGGTTTTTAGTGAACTTTATTTGGTGGCAATTGTTAAACTTGCGTTTGTCGCGTGTTTGAACTTGAGTTTGTGTTGTTTTTTAACTTGAGGTCTTGGCAATTGTTAATCTTTAGATTTGGGTGTTGGTTGAACTTAAAACTTTGACATTTGTTGAACTTGACTTTGTGGAGTTCATTTAACTTGAGTTTGTGGTGTTTTTGAACTTGAATTTTTGTGTGTTTATTTTTAACTTGAGTTTGTGGTGTTTTTGAACTTGAATTTGTGTGTTTTTTGAACTTGAGGTTGTTGCAATTTTTGAACTTGAGTTTGTTGAACTTGAGTTTTTGGCAATTGTTAAATGTGAGTTTAGGTCATTTGTTGAATTTGAAATTTTGGCATTTTTTGAACTTAAGATTGTGGTGTTTGTTGAACTTGAGTTTGTGGCAATTGTTGAACTTGAGTCTGTATTTTTCCCTGAACTTTAGTTTGAATTTTTGTGTGTTTTTTTAATTTAAGTTTGTGGCAATTGTTAAACTTGAGATATGGGTGTTGGTTGAACTTGAGTTTGTGGTGTTTTTGAACTTGAGTTTGTGTGTTTGTTTAACTTGAGTTTGTGGCGTGTTTTGACTTGAGTTTCTGTTGTTTTTGAACTTGAGGTTGTGGCAATTTGTGGCGTTTGTTGAGCTTGATTTTGTGTCGTGTTTGAACTTGAGTTTGTGGTTTTTGTTGAACTTGAGTTTGTGTCGTGTTTGAACTTGAGTTTGTATGGTTTTTGAACTTGAGTTTGTTTTGTGTTTGAACTTGAGTTTGTGGCGTTTGTTGAATTTGAGTTTGTGTCATGTTTGAACTTGAGTTTGTGGCGTTTGTTGAAATTGAGTTTGTGTTGTGTTTGAACTTGAGTTAATGGAGTTTTTGAACTTGAGTTTGTGGTTTTTTTTAACTTGAGGGTGTGGAATTTGTTAAACTTTAGAATTGGGTATTGGTTGAACTTGAGTTTGTGATGTTTGTTGAACTTGAGTTTCTGTTGTTTTTGAACTTGAGGTTGTGGAAATTGTTAAACTTGAGAATTGGGTATTGGTTGAACTTGAGTTTGTGGTGATTTTGAACTTGAATTTGTTTTGTGTTTGAACTTGAATTTGTGGCAACTGTTGAACTTGAGTTTGTGTCGTGTTTGAACTTGAGTTTGTGGTGTTTTTGAACTTGAGTTTTTGGTGTTTCTGAACTTGAGGTTGTGGAAATTGTTAAACTTGAGAATTGGGTATTGGTTGAACTTGATTTTTTTGTGTTTTTTAACTAGAGTTTGTGTCGTGTTTGAACTTGAGTTTGTGGTGTTTTTGAACTTGAGTTAGTGTGTTTGTTGAACTTGAGTTTGTGTCGTGTTTGAACTTTAGTTTGTGGCGTTTGTTGAGCTTGATTTTGTGTCGTGTTTGAACTTGAGTTTGTGGTTTTTGTTGAACTTGAGTTTGTGTCGTGTTTGAACTTGAGTCTGTGTGTTTTTTGAACTTGAGTTTGTTTCGTGTTTGAACTTGAGTTTGTGTCGTGTTTGAACTTGAGTTTGTGTCATGTTTGAACTTGAGTTTGTGGTGTTTTTGAACTTGAATTTGCGTGTTTGGTTAACTTGAGTTTTTGTGTTTTTTGAACTTAGGTTTCTGTTGTTTTTGAACTTGAGGTTGTGGAAATTGTTAAACTTGAGAATCAGGTGTTGGTTGAATTTGAGTTTGTGTGTTTGTTGAACTTGAGTTTGTGGTGTTTTTGAACTTGAGGTTGTTGAAATTGTTAATCTTGAGAATTGGGTATTGGTTGAACTTGAGTTTGTGTCGTGTTTGAACGTGAGTTTGGTTCGTGTTTTAACTTGAATTTGTGATGTTTTTGAATTTGAGTTTGTGTTGGTTGAACTTGAGTTTGTGTTGTGTTTGAACTTGAGTTTGTGGTGTTTTTGAACTTGAGTTTGTGTGTTTGTTGAACTTGAGTTTGTGTTGTGTTCGATCTTGAGTTTGTGGTGATTTTGAACTTGAGTTTGTGACGTGTTTGAACTTGAGTTTGTGGCGTTTTTGAACTTGAGTTTGTGGTGTTTCTGAACTTGAGTTTTTGGTGTTTTTGAACTTGAGTTTGTGGCGTTTGTTGAACTTGAGTTTCTGTTGTTTTTTAACTTGAATTTGTGTCGTGTTTGAACTTGAGTTTGTGGCATTTGTTGAACTTGAGTTTGTGGTGTTTTTGAACTTGAGGGTGTGGAAATTTTTAAACTTGAGAATTGGGTTTTGGTTGAACTTGCGTTTTTGTGTTTTTTAAATTAGGTTTGTGTAGTGTTTGAACCTGAGTTTGTGGTGTTTTTGAACTTGAGGTGCATGTTTGGTGACCTTGAGTTTGTGTGTTTTTTGAACTTGAGTATCTATTGTTTTTTGAACTTGAAGTTGTGGTTTTTTTTAACTTGAGGGTGTGGAATTTGTTAAACTTGAGAATTGGGTTTTGGTTGAACTTGAGTTTGTGGTGTTTTTGAACTTGAGTTTCTGTTGTTTTTGAACTTGAATTTGTGTCGTGTTTGAACTTGAGTTTGTGGCGTGTTGAACTTGAGTTTGTGTCGTGTCTGAACTTGAGTTTGTGGTGTTTTTGAACTTGAGTTTGTGGTGTTTTTGAACTTGATTTTGTGTTTAACATGATTTTGTGTTATGTTTGAACTTGAGTTTGTGGGGTTTTTGAACTTGAGTTTGTGGTGTTTTTGAACTTGAGTTTGTGGCGTTTGTTGAACTTGAGTTTCTGTTGTTTTTGAACTTGAATTTGTGTCGTGTTTGAACTTGAGTTTGTGGCGTTTGTTGAACTTGAGTTTGTGTTGTGTTTGAACTTGAGTTTCTGTTTTTTTAACTTGAGTTTGTGTTGTGTTTGAACTTGAGTTTGTGGTGTTTTTGAACTTGAGTTTGTGGCGTTTGTTGAACTTGAGTTTCTGTTGTTTTTTAACTTGAATTTGTGTCGTGTTTGAACTTGAGTTTGTGGCATTTGTTGAACTTGAGTTTGTGGTGTTTTTGAACTTGAGTGTGTGGAAATTTTTAAACTTGAGAATTGGGTTTTGGTTGAACTTGCGTTTTTGTGTTTTTTAAATTAGGTTTGTGTAGTGTTTGAACCTGAGTTTGTGGTGTTTTTGAACTTGAGGTGCATGTTTGGTGACCTTGAGTTTGTGTGTTTTTTGAACTTGAGTATCTATTGTTTTTTGAACTTGAAGTTGTGGTTTTTTTAACTTGAGGGTGTGGAATTTGTTAAACTTGAGAATTGGGTTTTGGTTGAACTTGAGTTTGTGGTGTTTTTGAACTTGAGTTTCTGTTGTTTTTGAACTTGAATTTGTGTCGTGTTTGAACTTGAGTTTGTGGCGTGTTGAACTTGAGTTTGTGTCGTGTCTGAACTTGAGTTTGTGGTGTTTTTGAACTTGAGTTTGTGGTG